TGACAACACAAAAGTCATAAAAAAACTAGAGAACAAAAACAGAAATGCTTCAATTATTAAATAAAAAATATATTTCTTCTAAAACTTTAAAGCGTTTTTATATAAAAAGAATATCAATTTGACATACATATAGAAATCTTATTTACAACTATTATAAGATAATAACCAACACAATTAGAGACAATTGTTATTGAGCTATTTTAACTTTATTTTAACTGACAATCTATTAAATTGATATTAAGTAATAAAATGCTTTAATTCAATATGACAATGTAGCTATAAAATGATTCAAGGTTCAATAAGATCCAATGCCCATCACTCAAGTGACTGTTTAATTCAACAGCATACATTATTCAACGGTATGAAAAGTTCAATGCCCAATTTCCAGGGTGTTTGAAAGATTAAATTCATAAGGGCCAATATTACCCTCAAGAGTGTCTGAATAATCCATGGGTCAATTCTAAGAATTTTCTGATTAATTCAAGGGTTAATATTACTCAAAAGAGTTCTAATAATTCTAGGTTCACTTCTTGATGGTGTTTGAATTATTTAAGGACCTTTACACTTAAGTGCCTGATTGATTCAATTAAGGGCTGTAACTCCACAGTTTTCTGAGTTTTTCTTAGCTCTTAGCAAATATACTTTCATACCGGTTCAATATAGACTAAGGCGGGTAACAAATAATGGTAAATATGTAATGGAACCAATTATCTAATTAGTTAAATTCACACACACACACAAATGAGCAAAATGAAATTTAACAACAAATACAACAACAAAAAATAAATATTAATTTTCTCATTTATAAGAATAAAGTAATTTAAAGGTACATGGACTTGCATACAACTATTTAAATGATACTTTCAATATTCATGTGCAAGAACTATAACATTTTAATATACAACAATGATTTCTTTGCATCAATATACAACTCTGATACAGGACATCACCAAGTTTCCCTTAAAGTCACATTATGCCTGAGAAAATGAATAACAAGAGCTGTCACAGGAGACAGCGAAGCTCGACTAACAAAATACTGGACGCAGTAAGGAGGACAAAACTATGAAAGAAAAATCAATTATGTATAATTATGTATTAAGTAATAGTAAAAAAATAACATTTGTTAACATAAATTCCAAGGTCAAGGGGAATAATTCTAGAAATAGTCATGCTAGAGTTATGGACCTTGTCACACAACATTTGTGTAATGATAAGATATATATATTTGAAGTTTGAAGTAGATACCTTTAAAAGTAAAGAAGTTATTATATTTCTTAAAGAAAATCCTAAGTTCAAAGAGAGATAAATCTGTAAATATTGCTTCAAGAGTTATGAACATTGCCACATAAAATGTAATTGATGATAAGGAAAGAATTTGAAGTTTGAAGTAGATACCTTTAAAAATAAAAATGTTATAATAAAAAATAACATTTTTCTAGTAAAAAAATCTAAGTTAATGGGGAGATAATTATTGCAATATTGGTGCTAGAGTTATGAACCTTGTCACATAAGATGTGGATGATGATAACGTAAATATATTTGAAGTATGAAGTTGAAGCCTTTAGAAATAAATAAGTAACAGTAAAAAATAATATTTTTAATGGAAAATTCTAAGTTCAAAGGGAGATAAATCTGAAAATATTGGTGCTAGAGTTATGAACCTTGTCACATAAGATGGGGATGATGATAACGTAAATACATTTGAAGTATGAGGTTGATCCCTTAAGAAATTAAGAAGAAACAGTAAGAAATAGTACTTTTTGAGGAAAATTCTAAGTTCAAGGGGAGATAAATCTGAAAATATTGGTGCTAGAGTTATGAACCTTGTCACATAAGATGGGGATGATGATAAGGTACATATATTTGAAGTATGAGGTTGATCCCTTAAGAAATAAAGAAGTAACAGTAAAAATCGTATTTTTTAAGGAAAATTCTAAGTTCAAGGGGAGATAAATCTGAAAATATTGGTGCTAGAGTTATGAACCTTGTCACATAAGATGTGGTTGATGATAAGGAACATATATTTGAAGTTTGAAGTTGATACCTTAAGAAATGACAAAGTTATAGTGAAAAATATTTTACTGCACCAAAACTTTAATCTAAAATCTGGACGCGGACGCCGGGGCGAGTAGGACAGCTCTCCATATACTTCGTATAGTCGAGCTAAAAATGAACCTGAATTTTAGAAAGGATAAACAAGTGTTTTATAACATTTCAGTTTATCATTACAGTTACAGAATGTAAACAAATTTGTATTTTGACATGCATACAAAATACTAAATCTCTATAACTGTCTTATCAAAAAAAAAAGGAAGCAAAGGATGGTTCAAGTGTGTAGCCATTAAGCACCTTATTGGAAACTATAAAAGGAGTCCAAAAGTAGAAAACATTTCAGAAATAAAAATAAAAAACATTACTAAGGCATGATGGGCCTTTAAAACTATGATAAAATTACCCTATTACTGTGTCAATTATAAATGAAGAATATGTAAATATGATCACGCTTTATTAAAAAATCAAAATGCACAATGATGCTTCAAAAACTAACTGAGAATTACAAAATTTTAAAATGTGCAACTTAAGGGTACTCTGGCATAATTTTTACATAAATGAAGGCATTGTTAAAACTTATTTTAACCTATTACTGAAAATATATACACTATCTTGTTTTAAATTGTGAAAATGACATCTAAAAAGTTATGCCATGGCAAACATGTAAAAAAAAAAAGCAAGCAAACTATTTGTTGCCAACAGTAAAAACATAAGAAAACAAATATCTCAAACATACTATAATAAAAACACATTCAAAACAGACTGTGTAATAAATGAAAAATTAATACAAATAAATTTCACTTTAAGCTCAGTTCAAAGACTGTTGAACATGTACTATAAATCTATAATATCTATGGATTCAATTCAAAACTTATTTTTTTGAACTAGTTACTTTTTCAATAGAAAATTTGATCAGAATTTGAATGCTGATATTTCATTTGTCTTATTTATCACCTTTACTTTTTATAACCCAATTAGAAACTCATTCATTTTAAAATGGTTTCCAATCTTTAATTTTCCTCACACCATTCTTGCAAAATCATTGAACTTTCCTGAGAATATAATTACAGTGTATACAGTATTGATAAGAATTTAAAGACATAAACAAATACAAAATAAATAAAAGGATCATTGATTTACTCTTCGCAAAAAGTAACAGAAAAACAAAAGCACTGCATGTGGTGTAAACACTCATCTGTAAAACATTTTAAGTTACAAAGGGGCACAACTCCAGAATAATTCTATTGCTTTCAGAATTATGCCCCTTGTCTAAAAACTGCACCTGGTCATGATACGCAAGTATAAGTCCAAGTTTCAAGTTGATACCTTTTGAAAAAATGGGCTACATAAATGTTTTTGCATGATGACCATAGCAATCATGATCATGATGATAGCTAGACTTTTTCTTTGAAACAGATTAGTTAAAAAAAGAAAAATATCAAACAATCTTGAATAAATGCCCCATTTTTTGACATACAGAAGGAAAATTAACTTACTAAGATAATAGATGTTAATTATACATCCAAGGAAAGTCGCAAAACTTATTTTACAGCTGGTGTTTCCAGTATGTATTATCAAGCAGCAATTAGCCAAAGAAAAAAAAGAAGAAAAACTAGAAATGTGTCATCATGCCACGGATGCCCCCGCATGCAGCCAAAATTTCAGATGGTGCATTAATTATTTGTTTCATTTTAAGTTCAAAGCCCTTAAAACTTTTCAATGTTAACACAAACCATTTTCATACAATGTTCAAAGCACTGAAATTATTCAGTCTTAACCTTTTAAAAATAGCATATTGCATATTTGTAGCCAAAATAATTGCTAAAAGTATGAGTGCTGAAACTGAAAGTTCAAAATTTTTCCAACATTCAGGAAAGATAAGTTTGTCCAAAATCATTGAACCACGACCAAATTCAAACTTAAACTGCTTATTCCTAAGATGTATCTATATTATTTTCAAAGTGAAAGGGACATAACTCTGCCAAAAAATCACCAAACCATGACCAAATTCCAACTTGACCTGCCCATTCCTTTGACATATCCATATGTCAAATTTAAGATGAATATGTAACACTGTTGGGTAGATAATGAACAGAAACTGTAAATTTCATAAAATTATTATTTTTAAAGTGAAAGGGGAATTACTCTGCCAAAAATCATTGAACCATGACCAAATTCGAACTTGGCCTGGGCATTCCAAAAACATATCCATATGTCAAATTTGAGTTGAATGTGTTGTACCATTGGGGAGATAATAAACGGAAACTGAAAATTTCATATTACTTTCAAAGTGAAAGGGGCATAACTCTGCCAAAAATCATCGAACCATGACCAAATTTGAACTTGACCTGCGCATTCCTTTGACGCATCCATATGTCAAGTTTGAGTTGAATGTGTTGTACCTTTAGGGAGATAATGAACGGAAACTGAAAATTTCATATTATTTTCAAAGTAAAAGGGGCATAACTCTGCCAAAAATCATTGAACGATGACCAAATTCGAACTTGACCTGTATTTTCTCATGACATATCCATATGTCAAGTTTGAGTTGAATGTGTTGTACCGTTGGGGAGATAATGAACGGAAACTGAAAATTTCATATTATTTTCAAAGTAAAAGGGGCATAACTCTGCCAAAAATCATCGAACCATGACCAAATTTGAACTTGACCTGTATTTTCTCATGACATATCCATATGTCAAGTTTGAGTTGAATGTGTTGTACCGTTGGGGAGATAATGAACGGAAACTGAAATTTCATATTATTTTCAAAGTAAAAGGGGCATAACTCTGCCAAAAATCATCGAACCATGACCAAATTCAAACTTGACCTGTATTTTCTCATGACATATCTATATGTCAAATTTGAGTTGAATGTGTGCAACCGTTCTTAAGATAATGAACGGAAACTGATGATGACGGAATGACAGAATGACGGAAGATGGAAGGACGGAATGACGGAATGACGGAACAGGGTAACACTATATGCCCCGGCCATTACATGGCGGGGGCATAAAAAACATGCATTCTATTTCAGCATTATTCAACGTTTTTTACTTTAAAATCCTCCTGTCCCATTTGGAAAATGTGTACCCATTGGAGTTTATTAGAGAATATAATGTACGAATAGATATGATACATACTTTGATAATAATACTATAAAAATACTATAATATTTTTTGTCTATGACTTTAATAGTACCTTCATTTCATTAAAATAATTCTACCCACTCAGTTATAATTTATATGCTATTATTTTTTTTTGTCTATGACTTTAATAAGTACCTTTATTTCATTTAAATAATTCTACCCACTCAGTTTTATTATATGCTATATTATTATTTTTTTTTACTATGAAATTGCTTATTTCTCTTCCCGCCATGCTTTAAGTCTTGTTTTGAACTGATGATCCGGTGACGGGGCATTAATCTTGAGAGATTTTTCTGACCCAGACGCTGGACGAGACTTGTAGGCAGTAGAGGGACGAGTCATTGTCGATGACGGACGACTATCATCATTTGATCGACTTGCGACTATACTTGGAGATTTCTTCCCACGCGCTGGTGCTGAAACTGCACGATTCATTTTGTTGAGATCCTCTTTGCGAGACCGAGGTTGTGTTGTCATTGGACGCTGGCCTAGAGAAACAAATAAAAATTGTAAAACATTGTTATTTTTGTGTATAAAAACTTCTGTTAATTCTTCTTTTAATTTTATGTTACGTAATACTATGTAATATTTATCAGTACTTTTTGGTATACTTTGGAAAATAGAATGCTTACCAATTAAAGTTACATAAAAAGAGATAAAATATGTTATTAAACTGCTCCTGCATAGCCCTGGATCATACTTGGATGCCAAGCCAAAAATAATCAGCTCTTCCAATATACCAGTTTGTCTAGATGGATACTCTTCAAAATATATCTTCATTTTGTACAGAAGCTGATGGAGTTTTTTTAATAAAGGGAAGTAACTTTGAAAAAGAGGATAGACTGTTTTGAAAAGGGGAGTAACTGACAAAAACTGTTATGTAGTATAATAACTTACCAATCATCCCAATTCTGCTAGGAGGAATTATAGGTCTACCACCATTTATTTCAAGGCTGGAAATAATAGTAAATGGGGTTATCTATAACACACACACAACAGTTATAGTTAAATGAGAGGAAATACCCTTTATGTTTCCATAGGTTAAGGTAATGCTGAAAATAAAATATATGGTATTATGCTGTCCCTATACCAAACTGTTATTTCTTTGAAAAATATTGTGCAATATATAAAAGAATGATCTTTTTCTTCAGTAGCCAATTTTGGTATGGCAGGAAAAAATTGATTTAGCACTACATTTAATTTTTCCATGACTCTGTATAGAAAGTTATATAATATGTGCTTTGTGTTGATGAAAGGGGAAGTAACTCGAGATAAAATCAAATACTAGTACTTCTTATGTGACATGAAAAAAGGAAGACAAAAGATAATTAATACATCTTTTTGTAGAAAGTACCTTTGAATAATGACTGAATAAGATAGAAATATCGGATAAATTCTGGAACCTTTTTGGCATTGTTACTTAAAGGGAAGTAACTTAAGATGAAAAACATATACTTGTCTTAACTTAGTTTAAAGATGGTGTATTTCAGAATAAATTACAGATTTTTGTCTAAGTTAAAGGGATCACTAAAGACAAATAACTGATACCATGATGCAGATTAAACAGGAAGTTATTTTTGTTTGTTTATTACCAACACAGTGTAAACCTGAGTGTTTTTCATTTCTATTTTTTCACACAGTTTTGGGGCCGAAATACTTTTATCTTTACGGGCAGTCACTGCTAAGTTTTTTCACAATGCAAAGGGCTCTGGACCTACATGTATTAGCAAATGACTGGGGAAAAAACAACGTAAAGGCTCTTTTTTGTGACTTTCCAGTATAACTAGTGGAAGAAGACCTTAGGTCTAGGAAGACCGTAGACCTCTGTACATAATTTCAGGCACCAGAGAGAACCTGAAAAGCACTGACATCACCTGAAGTAGCAGGATAGATTCTTTAATACGAAAGTTCCTGGCACAGATTCAAACCCTAAATAATAAGGGACAAGTGGTTTGAAGGCCTTGGCCATTTAGCCAGGGATACACCTACATTGGAAGAAACCTAAACAGAAAGTAACCTGGGATTTTCCTTTTTAGAAATCTTGAGCACATTAATTTTAATGGCAATCAAATCAATATCAAAATAAAAAAAAACTTGACTATAATATAGATGATATTGGATAAATTCTTATTATAAAAAAAAGTGCATGAATCTGCTTAATGTGCGTTTTGTTGAAGGAAAATATATGATATCTAAATATGTAATATCCGGGTAAATGTGAAATTTCTATGTTCAAAAATCTCTCTTAATAAATTAAAACTGGTTACAATTATAAATAAAAATAAATTTACAATGAAAATACAAAAATGTCATAATGCAACCTATTAAGAAGGGGTGTTATTCATATATTTAATATTACAATTACAGTTCTTAAGATGGCTTTGATCTTAAATTAATTTACATCACCCGAACCTCTAAGTCTTCGGTCTATTCTAACATGTTGATTCTAGAAATACTGATGTTTTAAGTTTACATGAATATAATTTCACTAATGTTTCATCCTCTCCCATTCGAGACATAACTATTAGTCCTCTGTTCATCAAATTAAGACAACTACAGATTTTTATGATTCCTTCCAGTTTTATGGGAAAATTGAGTCCATTATAGTAGCCTCCCAAACCAAAATGCATGCCTGCGACAAGCTTGCCGCAAGCTTGTCACAAGCTTGCCGCAAGCTTACAGCTTAAATACAAGGTTGCTGCATGCTTGCAACAAGCTTGCGCAAGCTTGCGATGACTTTTGAAATATATTGCAAGCTTGTTTAAAATTCATGCAAGCTTGCAAACATTTGATGTAAGCTTGCAATGCTGCAAGCTTGCAATAAGTAGACACTTAGAAAATTTTTGTACAAATCTACACTTAGAAATTTCTTGTTAAAGTAAATGAAACACTTAGAAAATTTTTGTCAAAAGTGTACACATTAAAAAAAAAAATTCCAAAAATGATAGTATCAGTGATAATTAACTAGTTTAAACTAGATTACCACGCTAAAGTTTATTATTAGTTATTAGTTATTTTATATATTCAGCTCAGTATTGTAAATTTACAAAGAAAATATAAAATCATCATTTATTTTAATGCAAGTTACTGTAAATGATTTGAAATTTAACACTTAAATTAAACATTTCATGTAGTCAGAAAAAATGTCTGTGCAAAAGAAGTAAATGAATTGATTGTTAAATACATATTATTATTTCAATAAATCTACATGAAGTTATGTACATTGAAATAATATCCATTTAATTACAGGCTTTAAGTTTAACTATTAATTAATTAAAGTCTGTGATTCAATCATTCAGACACTATAATAATCAAGATGGGATTGCATTGCTTGCCATTTTTAAATTCTAAGAATTCATGTTTTTGGATAACAATAAATAAATAAACAAAACAAAAACAGTGCATGAAATAATCTCATATATATTCTATATTAAATTAATCAATAATTTATATTGCTTTTATCTAGGAAAATAAATACTACATCCACTGAGATTTTACACTACACACATCAGAACCTTGATAAAATTCATTGACCATCTGTGCATGACTAATTTACTCCCTGGTCATTCAGACAGATCAGGCTGTTCCATGTGATTATTTTGGGGAGAGATAACATTATAAATTTCATATGCAGAATGTGTCTACAAGGACATTGCAATCTTTTTGTACAAAAATTTGTAATGATTTTTAAAATCTATATATCTAATAGCTATTTGATATTTTCTTTTACGCTCAAAGAATGAAAGTTAAAATGATGAGTAGATTAACCCTGCTTTACATACTGATAGACCTGTCCAGTTTTACAGTAACTGTTGTAAAATTTGAATTCTAAGATATCTGGGTCAGCAAAGAGAGCAAAATTACAGAGGAATGATGTACTTGATATTTTAGCAGTTTTGGAGATATTGTTTTGTTTAAGATTTTAAAGTGTTTAAGTAATGGTATGACAACAATCAGAATCACCTGGGACAAGGAGATATATAACAGAATCAGGTATTTATAAACCTTAAGTTACATTAATGCAGAAACAGGTTATATTATATATCAAACTATTAACATTTGTAACAAGAGATCAATGTTGTTTTTATATTTTCAACTTCATGCATTTGTTTTTCTGATAATTTAATCTATACATGTAAAATCTGTAATATATAATTTATTCAATGATTTCTTTTTAATGATTTTTTATATTGTTTAAATGGCATGTTAGTAGATCTTTTTCATTTCCTGCAAATTAAACAAATTAAATCAATTTTATTAAATAGGACTAAATGGTACAATCAGTAGTTTTGTACAGCTGAACAGGGTCAATCATAATCATTTGTTATTTTACATGTATGTGTTGTGTTTTCAATGGAACAATCTAAAATTACATTATACATAAATAATTTGCAGGCTGGGACATAAGTGCTGACTGTGAGAAATAGCAGCAGTGTTTAATAATGATGTGCAGTATTAATCCTGAAAAGGTATATTATTAAATCTCAATACTTTTCTATTCCACATCTTTTCTTGAAAAAATACATACTGGGTAATAAATATTGTCACAAATTTACTTAATTCTCATACAGAGAAATTCTTAAACATTTGTGCACATTGAAATAATATATACTGCATTGCTTTAGTATTTTTTGAAGTTAATATTTAATTTAATAGTTAATACTGTTGAAACATTAGATTTGATGTTATTAAAAGATATGAAATATAACTGCATTTATGCAATAAAACATAGTTCATTACCACATCTGTGTTTAATTAATTATGAATTTTATCTTTAAAGGTGAGCACAGCCATAAGAAGTTCTAGGAAACACAGACAGAGGACTAAAAATGGACAACGATAAAAGAAATAGTAATTTAAATAATCAGAAACATTTAAAACAAATTTAAGATTGAACAGTTTGTCACTGACAGACTAAGAGCAAAATAATTGCTTAAAACAAAGTGTTGGATTCTAAGAAAACAAGAACCTACCAAAACCTGCAGCTAGAAAAAAACTGTTTGTGTTATAGTGAATGTAAGGTGTATTCTGTATTTGGACTAAAGGATATGTATTAAATTTTGTGAAAGAAATATGTGATCATGTTAAACTCATAAAAATTCTACCCCAAACATTCCTGTGCTGAATTCCATCCCAGAATTTTACATTTTAAGAACATTCAGGGATGCTGGAATTAGGCTGGATTTTTTCAATGCCATTCCATCAAGGCTGGACTATTTACCATGGTAATTGGAAGAAAACATTAAAGTAGCAAATGAAAAATTTAACATCAGCTTCTTTTTACAATTTATTATTAAATAAGTTTATCATGGTAATTAATGCGTTTTTTTTGCATGCTACATAGGATTCAGAGACTGTTCGTATAGGTAGCAGCTCCCTTTCCAAATAAGGTTTACAGTTTTTGCAAGCCTGCGATTTAGCTTGCGCAAGCTTATACATTAAGCTTATGCTAATACATGCACAAGCTTGCGACTTAGCCTGTGCAGGCTTGCGGATAAACCTGCGCAAGCTTGCAAATAAGCTTGCGCAAGCTTGCGATTAAGCTTGCGCAAGCTTGCGATTAAGCTTGCGCAAGCTTGCGATTAAGCTTGCGCAAGCTTGCGATTAAGCTTGCGATTAAGCTTGCGCAAGCTTAAATATTAACTAGTTTGCAGTCAGATTTTTTTAAAATAACTGATCGCAAGCTTGCCGCAAGGTTCCAATTACTAGCCAGTAGCAAGCTTGCAACATAAGCTTGCAGCAAGCTTGTGACAAGCTTGCAATGTTAGCTTGCGATTTTGGTTTGGGCTGTTAAATTGACTGTGAGTGCTGTAAAATATAACCTTCACAAATTCACTATGTAAAAATAGGACCTTCACAAATCACAATGTTGAGATTTGGCCTTCACAATTTTACAATGTCAAGATATGACCTTCACAAATTCACAATGTAGATCTTTGACTGTCACAAATTCAAAATGTCAAGATATAACCTTCACAAATTCACAAAGTCAAGATGATGACAATCAATATCAAGATATAACCTTGACAAATTCACAATGTCAAGATATGACCAGTTCACACATTCACAATGTTTACAATTTCAAGATATAACCTTCAAATTTGTTCCCAATGTTACAATATGATCTTCAAATTACAACTTTATTTTTACACTCAGAACTATTTCTTTACAAACTTACTTTTGTTTTGAAGAACTGAACTACAAAAGGAAATAAAATGCCACTGAACTTGTCATTGTTTTAGAAATACAGTACACAAGTCAACAAATTATTCTGGTACATGAAAGGTGAAACATGATTTTCATTATGTATATTAAAAAATTCTAATTAAAAACATTTGTCCATCACCAGTCCTTTGCTTAGTCTAATCTAGTACTTATTACAGAAAAAAGGAAAAACAACCACAAAATACAATGTTTTATATAACCCTGACCAATATATCTTTGATAATTATCTAAGATCCCTTCCAAAAAAAAGGCAAGAACTAGACTATATTCTTCTCTCCCAAAATTATGAAATCAAATGGCCTACTTTTGTTATAACCATTTGACATAAAGAAAAATCAGAGCTAAAATAAATGTGATGATAATATTATAATCAATCATTAATCTATCCTATGCAAGCAGAGCAATATATTTTAAAGGTGCAACCCCTGAAACTTCACAATAAACAGAAGTGTCTAAAGGGCTATAAGACAAAAACGTCCCATCAAGAAGGTATATATCATAATTATGTTGATGCCTAACAGATACTTTAAGGTATTTTAAAAATCCCCTGCAATGATGACTAATTCACTCACTATTTTCTGACTTGGTTTAAAGCGAATCTGCATTTCACCATATACTGACATAGGCTAAGGAGATGGGGATCAGATATATAACAACCGGAGTCCCTACCACAAATCTCAAGCAGGCCAGGGTGGGCCAATTGTATTTTTGTTCTCCAGATTTAAACAATTACCTTATATAAGCATTACTTATTATATGTACAGTACTCTTTATGGTAATAATTGATTCCTGACTATTTTTAATAATTACTTAGCTAGAGTTAAAACTTTGTCCAATTGACTTGGGAGGGCTCGAGATATCGGTAGTTTGAGCCAATGGAGAATGAAGTATAATCGTGTATATGTATTTTACGAAGGGGATTGGCATAAAGGTTATCCATTTATTTTTTAATTTATCTAGTCAGGTTGGAGAAGGATGTATGGTTTGTATTATGGAGGTATGCATCTTTAACTGCAAAGCTATATTTATATTTATAGATAGCACAAAGGAAAAATTAATAACAAAGCATCATAGAAAAATATATGCAAGAATCCTTTACCTTTGAGTGCAGAAGGTTTCCTAAAGAATTAAATCAAAAAGGAGAATTTTTGATCTTAAGGAATTAAGCTGGTTAAGTTTTGCGATTTTGTATTCAGGTGTTTTAGGATTGATAAAAACTATATATACTTTCATATGATTGAACAACATAAGAAGTATTAAACCTGTTAAGGAAAGGTATATTGTCTTTTCAAAAATTATAAAATTCCAAAATATGAAATTGAAAAAATTCTTAATGTTAAGAATTTATAAATTGACCAAGATAGAGATACAAAAAACAAACATGCATAATACAGTCAAACCTCTACTTAAGACCATCTGTATATTTGTGCATAGTCAATATTCCTAATTGTTGGCATAAAGAAACGGTCAATAAAACCTGATATTTGGCATATAATGCCCTTAATGCCTCAGGTAAAATAAAGAAGAAAAATTCTATGTTTGTGTGGATGACCCCCCCCCCCCAGCTCCCATTCCCGAAAACTCAACAAAAAGTGTTCTGGAAATGACAGTCTAGAAATTATGACATGCATGATTGCTCATTTAAACGGACTGGTCTTAAACTCCAGGTATGACTGTATTTATTGTATCTATTGGGATTTGTTTTATTGCATGCATTGCACGAAGCAACTTAGAAGCAGTAAGCCAGATTCAAATATTTCTCACTTTGTCATGCAAATTTTATTACTAATTTCACCTGATATTCAATTTCAACACCACTGGAAAACATTAAATATTGTAAATAATAAACTTGTTCAAACGTTACTTCCATTCATAAGAAATTGAGTATGTACAATTGTTATTGAGCTGTATATTGAAATTAAGATCAAATCACAACTATAAAATTAAATTACGTTCTCTAGTATATGACTCAATCCCTTTTTATAAAACAAACAAAGGAAAATAAGTGTTTTCACTTTAACTTTTTACAGCTTATCTGTTAATTTATAGTTTATAAACCTGTTAAAACCAGCTTGTTGGAATTTTCCTTTTTTCATTTTAATCATAAATAATTAGATTAAAAAATAAAAATTCATGTGCAATATTAAATTGCAGCACTTTAGGTGGTGTTAACTTACAAGTTCCCATTTTTCATTAAATGGAAACAGGATTTCATTATTTAGAATATATTTATTTTGAAATAACATATTGGGGTTTAATCCATGTATCAGAATATTATTTCAATCTGACATACTGCTATAGAATATTTTATAGACTATAAACATTGAGTTTAAAGGGAATTAACATCTGTTTCCAAGAGTATAAAGTAAATTCTAAACCAGTCTAAAATCTTGATTAAAATTTTTAAAATTTGACCAATCAAAATGCTTCTTTTCAAGACTGGTTTCAAATTCTTATTTATAACCTTGGATACATAATGGAGGGTAAAAAATATGAAGTATAAAAATACCACTGAGAAGGTAGTCCGACGGTTTTTGCTCGTTTGAAATCCTCGATAAATTCAGAGCTGATTTTTGCATCCTTCCCGATATTATCCATTAATTTTTTATGAAGACCTGGAGTGTTTCTACAAGCACTTAGCAACAGTCTCGCAGCTGTACGGTTAAATGTCAAGTATCCGAGGGCAACCGCCACAGCACTTCGTACTTGTTCATTAAGTGATGATAATTTGTCAACAAGTTCATCGATTGCTCCAGTGGTTACCATGGCATCTGGAATACCGGCTCGAGTATGAGACAAACTGGAAATAAGACTACTTGCAAGGACAATCACATTGTCATCATCAGAGGACAACTTCTTCACAAGCAAGGTGACACCCTGAGCTGTAAGTGAGACCTGATCACGGTCAACTATAACCCGTGCGAGGACAACAATCTATAAAATAGAGAAAAAAAAGAACAATTAATAGTTTTGTTTTTTTTACAGTTTCGGGCGCCCAGTTAAGGAGTAATCCCATTAATTTTCCCTGTCATTGGCATGATAGGGGTCAAGGAGCATTCTCCTTTCAGCCTTACAATAATACAAGTATATATTTGATTTCTTACAAAATAAAAAGCAGTACAGATAATGTGATAAATATAAGAATTCACAAAGGTATCATTTACTTGTCCGAAAAACGAAGTGACAAGGTAGAAAAGCTAGTTAACTCTTTATAAATTAATTCTATAATTTCAATTGAGTTGCGTCCAATACATTATTAGTCTTAGAAAAATGCTCCCAATTCAGATCTGTAAAGCCAAACCAAGCAGCCTTTTTAAAGCTTTTTACATCAAAACTCCTTAAATTACAAAAAGAAAATTCCAAAGTCAAAACAAGTTAAGACCATTACACAAATCTAGCAGTGACAGAGTTTTAAGAACAAAAACATTGTCATAGATTACCTGAAATGCAGCATAGCAGTTATGAAACTCATCAAGTGAATCAATGAACGGCTCAAACACAGAATATTTGATACCACCAGCCTCTCGTATAGCATACTGCTGTGGTGTGTTGTTGAAGGCAAATATAGTCAGAGCCATTCCAGCTTGTAGTCGGATAGCCTGCAAAAAATGGTTAGAATTTAAGTCTAATTATTATAGCAAGAACTGTTCATATCAAAGAAAACATATTAAGAATACATGCAATAACATCCCAGTTGTCTGGGATTGTCCTGAAAAAAGGGTGTCTATTCCAAAGTTGTCCCGGAAACAAAAAATAGTATAATATTCTATAGATATTATTCAAGAACCCTAGTACTGGGACTCATACTGTGTTCTTCACAGGAAACTTTGAAACAAATTTATTGTCAACAAATTTCTTCCAATTGTTAAATAATCACGACAATCCTTACTGCCTGTGATCTTTGTAAAAATGTGTTGAATTTGGCATCAATAATGGTTTACAATACAGACCTTGCCTTCTATCACATATTCCATGTCTTATTTGCTTAAAGCTACATGCCTCCAGATAAGCCAACATTTTTCAAAAAATCAAATTCGAGAAAAATGTTCTAAGATTTTAGGAAAAGAAAAAGATTTAAGATTCAATAAATAATTTGCATGTTATGTGCGATTAACAACTTATTTTTCAGTATTTGTAACTATATTTCTACTGCGTTACTTACGCAGTAAAGGGCTACTTTTGCATATTTCGGCCTCTTTTAAGAAGTTTACTTGGGTTGCGTGTGCCATTTATAATGTGTAAATTGCTTCCTTTTGGTTACTTCACAATATTATACTTTAAATACATTTTCAAAATTTACATGAAATTAGCATGAATCTGGAGGCATGCTGCTTTAAAAGCTTGAACTGTGTTCCATGACATGTGTTAAATTTTTACAACACAAATATATTACAGACTAAACCTATGTAGTCTGACCATGCCCTATACTGCATATTGACCACATTACATTTTCATCTTGATAATCCATAAAATTTATAATCATTTTTTTAAACTAAAAATATTTCCATAGGACAAAGCAGAGATCAAAATTCCCCTTGTTCGCTCATAATTACAAGTTGAATTTTATCACAAGGACTCAATGCAGGATGTGTAGAAAAATTTTGCCTGCTCGCTGATTTGGAAGCTTCTCATCCTGCATGACGAGTGACTCTGAAAATATTTTTTGAATGCCTGCACAGATGCCCCCACATACACTGTCTACCAGCGAACAGCATGATGTGAAGATGTACAAGGGCAATTCTATATCCCCCACTCCTAGTCGTATGTGGAGACAAAAAATTTCAGCAGAGTAAAAGTAAAGCAAGTTTTTAAGACAAAAAGATTTACCGTATTTTTGGACTTTAGTAAGTCAAGAAGAACATCAAATTTGAAGTCTGGTTCATCATTTAACAAGTCCTGGTTTTTTGTATTGCTCAGTATAATACACCCTAGAGATATTGCAACCTGTTTCAAAAAAATAAAAACATTCAATATTAAACAAAGCATGAGTTTCCCCCATCTATCTCAAAACAAAACAAGAGCTCTACTTCTTTAAGTAAAATGAAAATTATTCATACACATATGTAGTGATACAATAGAATTAGTAGTTTCTACAGAATTTATTATGTATTATATACAGGCCTAATGGTAAAAAAGAAATTCTCCAAGCTCAAACTCAGATCTCAGGTATTTGATTGGTTAGAAACTGTCACAGAATGTACACTGACCAATGAAAAACCTGAGATTTAAGATAGAACTCAGAAAATAGTTTTATAACCTCCAGGACAGAACTAGATTGTGTAGAAAGCTATCAGCTTATAAACAGGCTCTTGAATACTTTCCTGGATCCAGCCTATACTGAGCATTGACTGTAAAGTTTTTTGTCCAAGGAAGCAGCCACTTGCCCCTAAAGGGGTTAAAATCCACTTTGCGTAACCACACATCTAGAGATCCTTAGATTACTAGAATGATGTGATAACCACTCAGCCATGCCACAATGTACATAGAACTGTTAAGGTATTCTTACTGTAATGCTTTCCTTCTAAAAAAAATCTAACATAGGGCAATATCGTAGCAAATAGGTTATTTCTGGATTTTTATATTTTCATAACCTTGGTTATTAGGTTATTTACAATCACTCATCCTTTATCGCTTTGTACTAAATTCCGGTTATAAACCGTAAAAAAATTCCTAAATATCAAAGATTGTGAAAAATAACTTACCAGAAATGACTAGATTTAATACCATATTGGCAGATGTAAGAAATTTTTTGGCGGGAAAGCATTGCAGTATTAAGACTACCTTAATGAACAATAGAAACAACATGTACCTACCTCAACTTGGACCTCCTCAGAAAGAGGGACATTCAGCTGCTGTACTAGTAAAGGAATAGCCCCTTCCTCTGCTATCTTATTCTGAGTTGTTTTATTATTTCTATATGCAACACCTGCAAATTCAACAGACATTAGTAAATTTAGTCACTTTCAAAATTGTCGAGTTTGGTTATTATAACATGGAAAAGAAAGATAAAAAGTAGTAACAGATTGTAGACTCTTGGAGCTTGTAGTTAAAGAATAGAATAATACAATGATGTTAAAAAGTTTGACCCTATATGAAATTGAAGAATTTATACTGGAATATTTATTAACAAGAGCACCGCTAGGCGGGGCATTATATGCCCGAAAGTACTTTCGCTGTAGGTTAATTAATGCTTGAATTATTGAGCGAAAACTGTTTCCAATTTAAAGGTGAAAGTAACCTTGATCTTTGACCTTGTGACCCAAAAATCAATAGGGGTCTTCTACCCAATATGGACAATCATCCTATAAAGTTTGAATACTGTGGACCAAATGGAACTTAAGTTATGCTCCGGAAACCATTTTCAGTTTTAGGGTAATAGTGACCTTGACCTTTGACTTTGTGACCCCAATATCAATAGGGGTCTTCTACCCAATATAGACAATCATCCTATAAAGTTTGAAAACTGGGGGCCAAATGGAACTTAAGTTATGCTCCGGAAACTATTTTCAGTATTAAGCTAATAGTGACCTTGACCTTTGACCTTGTAACCCCAAAATCTATAGGGGTCTTCTACCAAATATGGACAATCATCCTATGAAGTTTGATTACAGTGGGCCAAATGGAACTAAAGTTATGCTCCAGAAACCATTTTCAGTATTTAGCTAATAATGACCTTGACCTTTGACCTTGTGACCCCAAAATCAATAAAGCTCTTCTACCCAATATGGACAATCATCCTATGAAGTTTGAAAACTGTGGGCCAAATGGAACTTAAGTTATGCTCCGGAAACCATTTTCAGTTTTAGGGTAATAGTGACCTTGACCTTTGACCTTGTGACCCCAAAATCAATAGGGGTCTTCTACCCAATATGGACAATCATCCTATGAAGTTTGAAAACTGTGGGCCAAATGGAACTTAAGTTATGCTCCGGAAACCATTTTCAGTTTTATGGTAATAGTGACCTTGACCTTAGACCTTGTGACCCCAAAATCAATAGGGGTCTTCTACCCAATATGGGCAATCATCCTATGAAGTTTGAATACTGTAGGCCAAATGAAACTTAAGTTATGCTCCGGAAACCAAATTGCTAACTGACGGACGGACGTCCGGAGGGACGGACGCCAGGGGGTATAACATAATATGTCCGAAATTCTTTCGGGCATATAAAAATATAATTGAGTAATTAAATTTAGTAAGAGACAGCCCTTTCAAATGAAAGATCCATTTTTTGTTAATATTTTTACATAATTTTCTTTTTATAAGCCAAAAAAAGCAGTGCACAATCATTCAACAAAAAGGTTCATTTGACATGATTTCAAATATTTAAAGTACTAAAGTGCAAGCTTCTTACCAACACATAGTATTCCAAGCACCTTAATGACCATCAGCATGACTTTTGTTGAAGAGTTCTTATGTCTGCGAAGCAGTCTAACCAGTTGTGCAAAGCAGTCTGCCTGTGAGAGTTTATTCTGGTTCTCAATACTTTCCCGACCAAGTGCGATACACATCAAACATCCTGTTAGAAAAAACACAGATTTAAAATTTTCAATATCTCCATGGAAACTTATAAAATTTTGTCTAAACTGACCTTTCTCTGTACAAAACCTCATTGGCAGTCAACAATAGTCTCTTAACCAAGATGTAAAAGTAAGTACAGGTATAGAGTTATTTCATATTCAAAGAATTAAAACAACTATTTTAACTGATAAATGTTTTGATACAAGAACTGTACAATACCTAGCTGTCACATGATTATGGAAACTGTTCATTTGAAGCATTTATGAAATAAAAAATAAACCAAAAAGCAGTTGCTCAGTCATTCAAAAAATATCTAAAAATTGAAAAAAATAATTCTGGTCTTGATGCTGATTTTGAACATCATTTGGTCATATTTGGCAGTTGATCCACCCAAAACACTTTCCTGCATCTAACATAGCAATAATGGAACTAGTTTTCTTTGGTTGGGTTTAACATTGCCAACAACTTTCCAGCTTTACTGGTGGAGGAAGAAATCAGGCGCCCCTCCATGCATTATTTCAGGCATGTTCTATTGACACCTGAGTAGAAACACCGACTAACCACCAGATATGGTAATGGGGCAAAAAGAAAGATAAGAAGTTTGTTAAAGCCACATACCAACAGTTAGAAGTTTCTCTGTTGGTTCTAGTAACATCTGATGTATATGTGTTATACCAGTAACCTCAGCTATATATTTCTCCTGAGTTTTAGTGTGTCCAGCCAGTGACCACAAAGCACACGCCCCCTGTTCTCTCACCTCAACACTGATGTTCTGTAAAAAATATTTTTCTTTATTAATGTCTGCAATTAAGAAAAAAGTAAACTACTATATATTTTACTCATATCAATATTGTTTGTATTGATTAAACGTTTATATTGATATGTCTGCCTTGATCCTTGAATTTGAAGGAACTCCACTTTGGTTTCAAAGCCTAAAAACAAAGACTTTGAAATTCTTACATAGATCAGCTGGGGCACTTACAACGGAACGATATGCAAAACACAAGTAAGGAATATACCGAGAATTAAATTACAAATTGCATTTTATTGCAATTTAAAGCCGATATAAGTAATTCTGAGTCATTTTTCACAATTTGAATAATCATTCTGGAAAAAAAAGGTTGTGAGCAAATTTTGCACACAAGTAACTGGTCTAGACCTACATCAAATTGAACATTTATCTTGAAAATCTCCTTTAATGTAAGCTTAGTCCTCATATATTGATAAAAGCATAGAATATGTCACTTCACAAAAAATTTGTCACATGGGGATTTTTTTTAAAGTAAATATCTGGAAACAAGAGGGCCATGATGGCCCTGAGGTCGCTCACCTGTATATAGGCCCCCCCACCCCCGTGCCAATTTTTACCCAAGGGCTTTTATTTGTTTATTTGAACAGACTTGGTAGACACCCATAAGAAGATGTTTCATGCTAAACTCTAATTTCTAGCTCATTGGTTTTTTTAAAAGAAGATTTTTAAAGTTTTTACTATACACATATAGTTAAGAACAATGACACCCCTGGGGCAGGGCCAGTTTTGACCCCCGGGCTTTTATTTGAACAAACTTTGTAGATATTTACTTAAAGATGTTTCATGCTTAATATCTAAACTCTAGCTATTTGGTTTTTTTCAAAGAAGATTTTTAAGTTTTTGCTATACACATATAAGGAAAGTCAATGACCCCCCCCCCACCCGGGCGGGGCCAGTTTTGACCCCAGGGCTTTTATTTGAACATACTTGGTAGACACCAATTAGAACATGTTTCATGCTAAATATCTTAGCTCTAGCTCTTTGAGTTCTTTAAAAGAAGATTTTTTAAGTTTTTACTATATGCATATAGGGAAAATCAATGACCCCCTGGGGCGGGGCCAATTTTGACCCCAGGGCTTTAATTTGAACAAACTTGGTAGACACTCACTAGAAGATGTTTCATGCTAAATATCTTAGCTCTAGCTCTTTGGGTTCTTTAAAAGAAGATTTTTTAAGTTTTTACTATATGCATATAGGGAAAATCTATGACCCCCTGGGGCGGGGTCAATTTTGACCACAGGGCTTTTATTTGAACAAACTTGGTAGACATTCACTAGAAGATGTTTCATGCCAAATATCTAAGCTCTAGCTCTTATGGTTCTTTAAAAGAAGATTTTTTAAGTTTTTACTATATGCATATAGGGAAAATCTATGACCCCCTGGGGCGGGGTCAATTTTGACCCAAGGGCTTTTATTTGAACAAACTTGGTAGACACTCACTAGAAGATGTTTCATGCTTAATATCTTAGCTCTAGCTCTTTTGGTTCTTTAAAAGAAGATTTTTTAAGTTTTTACTATATGCATATAGGGAAAATCAATGACCCCCGGGGGCGGGGCCAATTTTGACCCCAGGGCTTTTATTTGAACACACTTGGTAGACACTTATTAGAAGATGTTTCATGGTAAATATCTTACCTTTAGCTCTTTGGGTTCTTTAAAAGAAGATTTTTTAAGTTTTTACTATATGCATATAGGGAAAATCTATGACCCCCTGGGGCGGGGTCAATTTTGACCCAAGGGCTTTTATTTGGACAAACTTGGTAGACATTCACTAGAACATGTTTCATGCCAAATATCTAAGCTCTAGCTCTTTGGGTTCTTTAAAAGAAGATTTTTTAAGTTTTTACTATATGCATATAGGGAAAATCAATGACCCCCCAGGGTGGGGCCAATTTTGACCACAGGGCTTTTATTTGAACAAACTTGGTAGACACTCACTAGAAGATGTTTCATGCTTAATATCTTAGCTCTAGCTCTTTGGGTTCTTTAAAAGAAGATTTTTTAAGTTTTTACTATATGCATATAGGGAAAATCAATGACCCCCTGGGGCGGGGCCAATTTTGACCCCAGGGCTTTTATTTGAACAAACTTGGTAGACATTCACTAGGAGATGTTTCATGCTTAATATCTAAGCTCTAGCTCTTACGGTTCTTTAAAAGAAGATTTTTTAAGTTTTTACTAATTGCATATAGGGAAAATCAATGACCCCCCGGGGCATGGCCAATTTTGACCCAAGGGCTTTTATTTGAACAAACTTGGTAGACACTCACTAGAAGATGTTTCATGCCAAATATCTAAGCTCTAGCTCTTATGGTTCTTTAAAAGAAGATTTTTTAAGTTTTTACTATATGCATATAGGGAAAATCAATGACCCCCTGGGGCGGGGCCAATTTTGACCCCAGGGCGTTTATTTTAACAAACTTGGTAGACGCTTACTAGAAGATGTTTCATGCCAAATATCTAAGCTCTAGCTCTTGGGGTTGTTTAAAAGAAGATATTTAAAGATTTTTCTTTCGGTTGCCATGGCAACCTGGGAGTTCTGCATGGAATTAAATTCTTTGAACAATTTTTAAAGGTGACCACCAAAGGAACATTCCTGTGAAGTTTGGATGAAATTGGCTCAGTGGTTTTTTAGGAGATGTCATTTAAAGCAAAAGTTTACGGACGGACGACGGACGGACGCCGGACGAAAAGCGATCACAAAAGCTCACCCTGTCACTTTGTGACAGGTGAGCTAAAAAGTGGCAGACTTGGTTTGACTGAGTCTGTACATCCATCATGCCCCCTAGCACTGGCTTGAGTGGTACTAATATTCTAAGTCTAACTTTTATCATGCATTAAGGCCTAGGCTTACACTTCCTTTTTGGCTTAATATATCCAAACACATGATTTTGCACCTGAAGTAAAAACACTGAGGGGGAGCATTCCCCCATTTTCCCAGCAAAAGAACTTTACATTCAACTAGATTTTGCTGGGCTCTTGTGCATGCATGACTAAACAGATTATTGTTAAAAAATCACAAATTTGTTAATTTTAGCTGATATTTATCAATGGTAAATATTTGGTCAAAATTTGAAATTTTTACCTTTAAGAGTTTAATGAGAACTTTTGGGGCATCAAGTTCCAGGAATGCTTTCTGGCATTTGAAGTTATTGGTTGCCATGGCTTCCAAAGCATTAGCTGCCTTCACCTGTACACGCACATTACGACCTTTGATAAGGTCAACAAGAGGTCTGAAAAATAATCACAAAATTTTATATTTTATGAAAAAATTTACATGTAAATTCTGACAGCTTTTATACCTGAATGTTGTTATTATAGATTCTTTTTAACAAAAATATGACCTTAGCACAGTTGATGTGACCTTTCAACCAAACTAAATACAGGCACATCATATTATGTTGTAAGCTAAGTTTTAAATAATCCCTGGTAAACAGGCATACCAGTTGCATACAGATTTATAGTTGCATAATTATAACATAAAATATCATATAAGATTTGTTGTGTTATAAAACACTGTGTCACCCAAGTATAAACCACAAAATATAAATCATTTTGTCCGTACGTGTGACATGGATCCTTACATTTTATAAATGTCTGAATTGTTAAATTTTTATGAGTAATTATCACCTCTTAAATAAAACCACTAATCAAATTCACCCTGACATATAAGGATCATAACTATATCTATAAATAACTTACTTTGCAGCGCCCTCTTCCAGCAGGGATGTTTGATTGGCCTCGTGACCTCCTGACACGGCTGCTATTGTTGCGGCCGTCGCTGCTTGTAATATAGCTGTAACAAAACAGAACATATTGAACTAATTACATACAAATAATTGTTGATTATTTTTACAACACACAACCACTGTGATACTCATAAAATTAACTAAAAGCTGTTTCAAAATGAGAAAAACATACAATTTTCATTGCAAAATCTAAAAACCATGGAATCAATTTTTTTACAATATAGTAATTTAATCATCATAATTTTTTAATCATAATTAATCCATAAAATTATAATTAAATAATTATAGATTAATAATCTATGTAGATTTTCTAATATATGTAGAGAAGAGGCTAAATTGCATGTGTTAAAAAAATATCCAATAAAAAATAACCCTAGACAGGGCCTTATTATATACAACAATTTATACATACACATACACACACACATAAATAAGCGTGGTACAACTTACGCGAGTCAACAGTTAGAAACTCCACCAAGGGTTCTAGACCATGTGCTTCAGACACTGCCGTCTTATTTGTATAATTATTCTCACAAAGTACACGTATAGCATTCACCGCGTTCACTAATACGTCCTCTAATTCAGAATCCATTAGATTCACAAGGGGTTCAATTCCATTTTCAGATGCTATCAACTCCTGGTTCCCCTCAACACATGCCAAATCTGACAAAATTATAGCTGCACGTGATTGAATATCATCAACGGGTGATGACAACAGTCGTATCAAAATTGGACCGGAATTGCACCGAGTGAGAGCCTGCCTGACCTCCGTCTGCTCCGATATGTTACACAATACTGACGCGGCCACACATTGTAGTTCCTCGTTATCAATCTTCAACAGATTCACTAACGCAGGTACTCCCTCTGTAATTGATAAAACAAACAATTTCTTTATGGTTACCAGTATAATTCAGGATGCATAAATTATAATAATCCAATATGATACACTTATTAAACACTCAAGATGTGGTCAATATATCTATATATCGCACTGCCCTGCATAAAATAATCCAATCAAAAATTATTAAAGCTCTGAGATGTTTGAGAAGAATTATATACATAACTTGAAGACTTTATGACAATGAATGAAAAAAACAACAACAATTCAATGTCATACTAATATAAATTATTCAAAATTGCTTAAAGTAGTTTGAGAGCAACAGACTATTTTAAAAATCTTAATTTAGTGCTTCATTAATTTTAGATTTTTCATTTTTATACAGAAATAACTTTCAAACTTGGTATTTTAGTACAAATATTTCAATTTTGTTTCAACCAATTTAAACTTAAAAATGGCTTTTATAATTTGAATAAAGAATAAGGAATTTATTTAAATATTGTAAACAATGCAAAGTTTGACTCCTATTTAGAATACAACACGAAATTTACAAGTTTTGAAAACAATACAAAGTTTACCTCAATTTTGAATAAAACATAGAATTCCAAAAGTTCTTGAATACAATTAAAATTCTCGAACTTGGTCTAACTACAAAACATAGCACTCACTAAGGTATTGAATAAAAAATGCTGTTTAGATTTTTGTTTGCCATGACTACTTACTATAAAACATAGAATTCTCAACTGCATATTTTAAATTAAAAAAGAAATTAACACAGTGTGGAATTTTATACACTATTTATACCAAAGTTGCAATGATTTACAACAATTTTATTAAAACCACTAAAATCCATACCTGTGTAATATATGGTATGCTAAAAATATACAACTACAAACTTTGTGTAACATGCATATATATATATATATTCTGTAATGAAAACATTTCTAATAAGTGTACAAAGAAATATAAAGCATCAAATTGAGGAGTGTTGGTAATGAAAGCTAGAAAATGTGTGTCCCTATATTGTACTGTTTTGTCATTGTTCATAGGACACAGATGTCCCTATATTGTACTGTTTTGTCATTGTTCATAGGACACAGATGTCCCTATATTGTACTGTTTTGTCATTGTCCATAGGACACAGATGTCCCTTTATTGTACTGTTTTGTCATTGTCCATAAGACACAGATGTCCCTATATTGTACTGTTTTGTCATTGTCCATAAGACACAGATGTCCCTATATTGTACTGTTTTGTCATTGTCCATAGGACACAGATGTACCTATATTGTACTGTTTTGTCATTGTCCATAGGACACAGATGTACCTATATTGTACTGTTTTGTCATTGTCCATAAGACACAGATGTCCCTATATTGTACTGTTTTGTCATTGTCCATAAGACACAGATGTCCCTATATTGTACTGTTTTGTCATTGTTCCATAAGACACAGATGTCCCTATATTGTACTGTTTTGTCATTGTCCATAGGACACAGATGTACCTATATTGTACTGTTTTGTCATTGTCCATAGGACAAGGATGTACCTATATTGTACTGTTTTGTCATTGTCCATAGGACAAGGATGTCCCTATATTGTACTGTTTTGTCATTGTCCATAAGACACAGATGTCCCTATATTGTACTGTTTTGTCATTGTCCATAGGACACAGATGTCCCTATATTGTACTGTTTTGTCATTGTCCATAGGACACAGGTGTTACCTATATTGTACTGTTTTGTCATTGTCCATAGGACAAGGATGTACCTATATTGTACTGTTTTGTCATTGTCCATAGGACAAGGATGTCCCTATATTGTACTGTTTTGTCATTGTCCATAGGACACAGATGTCCCTATATTGTACTGTTTTGTCATTGTCCATAGGACACAGATGTTACCTATATTGTACTGTTTTGTCATTGTCCATAGGACACAGATGTTACCTATATTGTACTGTTTTGTCATTGTCCATAGGACACAGATGTCCCTATATTGTACTGTTTTGTCATTGTCCATAGGACACAGATGTCCCTATATTGTACTGTTTTGTCATTGTCCATAGGACACAGATGTACCTATATTGTACTGTTTTGTCATTGTCCATAGGACACAGATGTCCCTATATTGTACTGTTTTGTCATTGTCCATAAGACACAGATGTCCCTATATTGTACTGTTTTGTCATTGTCCATAGGACACAGATGTCCCTATATTGTACTGTTTTGTCATTGTCCATAGGACACAGATGTCCCTATATTGTACTGTTTTGTCATTGTCCATAAGACACAGATGTCCCTATATTGTACTGTTTTGTCATTGTCCATTGGACACAGATGTCCCTATATTGTACTGTTTTGTCACAGGTGTACCTATATTGTACTGTTTTGTCATTGTCCATAGGACACAGATGTACCTATATTGTACTGTTTTGTCAGTTTACCTGTCCAATATTGACAATGACAATCATCATACTTTGGTCTTTAAAAAAATCATTTACTATGAGTTATGCTGTAACAGTTCTTGGAAATAACAGCTTCTAAAAGGGAGCAAACAACCAAGACCATTACAAAACAAGAGCTGTCCGTAAGACAGCGCGCTCGACTTTTTTATTGCTTGCCAATAAAAAAAGTTTTTGCAGTAAAAGGCAATACAAGAATCTCTGTATTTTTAAAGTGAACAATGGCCATGAGCATTAAGATATTTAGTGAAGAATTATTTTATTATGACATAATTTATGGTAAAGTGAACAAGTGGATAGGAATGAATTTTTTTAGATTTTTTAAGTTTTTTAGTGCTTGCCTATAATACAAAACATTGACAGTTAAGGGCCATAATTCAAATAAAATCTTTGACAGAATTACCTTCTCCTGGACATGTTTGGGAATCATGATTGTAAACAAGTATTCCAACTTTCAAATTAATATCTCAAACAGTTCAGTCAAAAAGTGGACTGGTACTAAAAACTTAACCAAGATTTCTAAGTCGATAAAAGGCCTTAATTTTTTAAAACAAATCCTTGACAGAGTTACCTTCTCTTGCGTACAGATGGGGGTAATGATGTGAAATAGCATTAAAAGTTTCAAAGCAATATCTCAAAGGGTTAAGGCAATAAGTGGATTTTACCCATATTCAATGTATTTTCTAAGTCAAAAAGGGGCATAATTCTGTCAAAAACCTTGACAGAGTTATGTCCTCTTGTCTGTTGATGAAGGTCGTGATGGAAAACAAGTATGGTCAGTTTCAAAGCAATACCTCCAATGGTTTTGAAATAAAGTGAGGTGGTACAAAAAACTTAACCAAGCTCAATACACTTTCTAAGTCAAAAAAGGGCCATAATTCTGTCAAAAACCTTGACAGAGTTATGTACTCTTGTCTGTAGATGGAGGTTATGATGGTGAACAAGTATGGTAAGTTTCAAAGCCATACTTGTAATACTTCTGAAATAAAGTGGGGTGGTACGAAAAACTTAACCAAGGTGTGACGCCGACGCCGGGGCGAGTAGGATAGCTCCCCTTTTCATAGAAAAGTCGAGCTAAAAATGTATATTTAAAAAGTACACCACAAAAATGCACACAAACTAAGGATAAGAATATGACAGTCAAAACATAGAGTTGACTAAACCATGGCAATAAATTCTCAATAAACAGGGGCCATAACTATTAACTACAACAGCAGTTTTACAAAAAAATGAAATCTTTTTTGGAACCTGTCCTACTTTCACTCAAAATACAGAGCAAACTCAGACAAAGTTACAGTGGCCATTAATTCTCAAATAACAGGGGCCATAACTCATTTTTAACAATTATGAAATTACAAAAGATTTAAGACCTGAAATTCACTCAATTACATCCCTGAACTGGCATAAAAGATCCATCATAAGATCAAGATAATTATTATCACAACTTATATAAATTAGTTCAATTTTTCACCATTTCTGCCACTATATAACTGTATCCAGTGCATTCAACTAAAATGATGTTTGATAATTTATGTAACAACGCCTTTCAGTTTCTAAAACTTTTTAAAATTCACTAACTCAAAGAAGTATAAAGTAATTACACAAAGTAAAATAACAATAAGAACATAATTATACAAGTGTGACATAAAACTCAATTTAATGCTATTATAATCAAGTGACTTGAGAGTTACAGTATATTTCATAGAAAAAGGACCAATTTTGAAATATCCTAGATTTAGCTGAATCCTTACACAGCAGAATTCTAAAATTGTTCAATCAGGAACATAGAACAGTCCATTTGTAGTTTATATAGGAAATAGGATTTACTAAAACTGATTATAGCTAACAGTTAGTCTTAGAGTCTAGTTTGACTGTAAGGGTATTCAGGTTGACTTGATTGGTATACAGGTTGACTTGATTGGTATACAGGTTGACCTGATTGGTATACAGGTTGACTTGATTGGTATACAGGTTGACTTGATTGGTATACAGGTTGACTTGATTGGTATACATAATGAACTGATTGGCATACAGACTGACCTAATTGGTATATATAATGACCTGATTGTAATATGATCAAATACAGTGAATTTTGGTGGGTTTTTTGTTAGTGGTTTTTAGGAAATCAGTCTCCAAACCCCCCCCCCCCACCTTGAAATATAATTCAAAACCTAGCACACATTGTATGTAAATATCAAATAAATAACCATATAATGTCATATCAAATTTATACTAGCAATGTCATACCAGTAATTTTCCTTGCTTATGATACCAATTTTAAAATAAAAAAAATTTTGGTTTATGCTATGGCTTATTTGTTAATACAATGCAAACAGTGTATGTGACGAAAATACACATTAAGCATTATAGCAAACAATATTTACAATGCATGGGTATTAGTAAACCCTAAGAAGTACTTTTCAAAAATGCTTTATATAGAAATAAACTCTCCAAATTACAAGGAAAGAAAATGGCTCCAAAAAAAAAAAATTCTATTTTAAGACAATTTAAGGTTTTATGCTGTCATTGTAAGTATGCAATACTATCAATCAACCCTGTTATAAGAGTCATTTTATGTTTTGAAAGATCTTGATCTCCCTTCACCCCTTTTACTAAATCAGGAACACGTTTCTCAAGTGAGAAAGTGGGTGTCCTTTTAAGGTTGAGCATAAACACCTGTATTATAGCAGGAAGGGGGGGGGGGGGCTTTTTTTCTCTGGGTTTTTGTTTGTTTGTTTTTTGCTGTATACTTTTGTTGGTTAAGAATTTTTTATCACCAAGAATAAAACCCATTTCAAATTGATAAATATATTGTCTGGCTACACAGACTCTAATCACACTAGACAACATTTAGTAACATAGGCAATGGTATGGCCAACTGATTAATGCGTCGGTCTAGTAATCTAAGGATTACTGACAGCGCTGGTTCATTGGCCCTTAAGCCGTTTTTTTTCCATGAGCAAGAAACTTTACACTCATTGCTTAGTACTGGCTTGTTCCAGGAATAGATATGAAAGTGTTTCAATAAGCTTATAGCTTCCAACAGAATCTAACTAAAATATAAATTGCTATAAACGAAACTAACATATACAATTCATTTCAGAATTGGTCCTGTTCTATTTATAGACACATAGAGAAAGGTTGCAGAATTAAAACTATTTGGGGAGGGAAATTTTGTCTATCTCTGGAATAGAAATTTGGTTTCAACCGGTCTCCACCAGTTTGTGGAATATCTACAACTTACCATTTATTAAGCATCCTTTATGAGTAATTTTTTACAAAGACAGAAATATTATTAGTATAAGCGTAAAATAAAAAACAACAGCTATATGTAAGACTAGCTAGAGGTCTACCTTCAAACAATTATCTTAATTATCATATTCGAACCAAGTATATAGAGTTATAGTTCATACAAATGATACTTGTGTATATTTTGGCAAACATGCAGTCTTTAAGAACTGGCACTTCAGGAGCATTGCACTTACGTTCATTTTGGTATACAAAAAAATATACATCAATAATTTATTCTCTTGCAATTAATCACAATTTATCTTAAAGCTGTCTAGATTACAAAATACACTGGTTCCTTAAAAAAAATATGTTTCTGCAGATTTAATAAGCATTAAAAAAAATATGTTTCTGCAGATTTAATAAGCAGTCAACTTTTGAAACATAGTTAACATATAGAAATAAGAACTACAAGTTTTTCTGGGCAAGTCATTTTCTGCTTTCTTGTCTACACCACACAGCTATAAACTAACAACATTTCAAAATCTGTTTACATTATATAACCATACATAATCTCTGTAAGTCATATATACAGTTTATAATACATGTCATACATGCAGCTCTTCTCATGACAACAAACATTATTGTTGTTAACTTTTGTTGCTCAAGCATTTGTTCAAGTTTTCAACAGAAAAATTAACTGTGTATTCCTCTCTATTTAATTTTTTCTAAATGAAAGTCAGTTGTAATTAACTTTTTACCTGCAGAATTTCTTAAATGTACTTTTCCAGCCACTATTTTTGGAACTTTCCATTATTTTGTTGTTGTTATTTTTGTTTTTTACCAAAACAGTGTAGGTCATATTGTGTAGGAACAGAAAAGATGATTTTAGCTAACCTTGGGTGTAACACTTTAAGCAACACCAGGGGTCAAAACCATGTTACCTACTGGAGCTAAGAGATGCATAGACTCCAATAATTGGAAGCCATTTAGTCACCTCTTACGACCATGCAGTGTTTGACAGTGGCTGCAGTTCTGATACCTCAACCCATAAAGGCAACCCCTCAGTCACAAGGGCGGAATTTTCCATTATCAATATTTTGGGGATGTCAAGATGAAAATTTGAAAAAAATCAGTCAGCTGTATTGAGCCTGGTCAGATGGCATGGATGTGCAGCTAGCCTGGCTCTATACTGGTGGCAAAAACCTAGACAACATTGGGTCCACCAAGTTAAGTGCTAAAATCTTATCAAACTGGTTTTAATAAAAGAAGTATATCAAGTAAAATTATGTTTGATCAACAAGTTAAGTTATCAGATATCATAATTAAATAGGACCTTTCATGCTAAAAAAGCATGCACATTATAATAACAAAAGTTACTTCACATGCAACAATGCACTCAAAAATCTTTCACTCATTTTCTTTTTTAAATATTTTTCAAGACACAAAATTTGCATGCCTGATTATTATAGAACCTAATGTTTAATCATTTAGTAAGTAAGAGTTACTGCCCCTACCTGCATCAAGAATTGACCTCCAGTGGTCAGGTTTAGATGTTGACAGCACTTCAAGGCATTTTACTGCACTGTCCTTTTTCTTCAAATCATCACTGTTCAACATACCTGTAATAGATATTTTATTGCGACTTAACTTGAAAACATATCTTGTGTTTTTGTAAGCTACTTAAGAATGCCATAAAAAGCTCACAATAAAATTGGAGTACATGCAGTAAACAAGAGCACCGCTAGGCGGAGCATTATATGCCCGAAAGTGTTTTTGTTTTTTAGTAAGGATGAAGCATTTGTAAGACATGGGAATTCGCTGTTCATTCTATAAAATTTTACAGCTGTAGGTTCATTAATACTTAAGTTATTAATAATGACCTTAACCTTTGACCTTGTGACCCCAAAATCAATAGGGGTCTTCTACCTTATATGGACAATCATCCTAAGAAGTTTGAATATTGTGAGCCAATTGGAACTTTAATTATGCTCTAGAAACTGTTTTCAGTATTAAGGTAAAAGTGACTTTGACCTTGTGACCCCAAAATCAATAGGAGTCTTCTACCCAATATGGACAATCATCCTATGAAGTTTGAATATTGTGGGCCAAATGGAACTTAAGTTATGCTCCGGAAACTGTTTTTAGTATCAAGGTAATAGTGACCTTGACCTTTGACCTTGTGACCCCAAAATCAATAGGGGTCTTCTACCCAATATGGACAATCATCCTATGATGTTTGAACATTGTGGGTCAATTGGAACTTAAGTTATGCTCAGGAAACTGTTTTCAGTTTTAAGGTCATAGTGACCTTGACCTTTGACCTTTTGACCCCAAAATTAATAGGGGTCTTCTACCCACTATGGACAATCATCCTATGAAGTTTGAACAATGTGGGCCAAATGGAACTTAAGTTATGCTCCGGAAACCAAATTGCTAACGGACGGACGGACATACTTAGCAGACGTGTTTGTGGGGTTATTCCTTTGATCTCTTAACCCCACAAGAGCAAATTTTTTTAACCCCATAAGAGCATTTTTAACCACATAATACATGTCTCTACGGAATGAACCCCATACAGAGTGCCTGTACATAAACCTAAACCTCATAATGTAGCTCTCGTCTGCTCGGACGGACGGACGTACGGACGTACGGAAACCAAATTGCTAACTGACGGACAGACGGACGTACTGACAGACAGACAGACGGACGCCAGGGGGTATAACATAATATGCCCTTTCGGGCATATAAAAAGGGTGAAAGGTAAATGAAATGTTTGCTTAACCAAGAGTTACCAAAAGTCATAAAACAAGAGCTGTCGGAAGACTGCAAGGCTCGACTATTCGAAAAAGTTGTCACAAGGGTGTTTCATTGAGTATAATTATGCTTACCTATATAAATACATAAAATTGTCCAAAAAGGTACAAAGGCTTGGTACTTAGACGTTTTATCGAGTAAATCACTGCTTGATTATTATGAATGCATAAAATTGTCACAAAAAAGGCACAAACCCTTCAGTTAAGTTCTGGAGATACCAGCTTACAAGCAAATTACAAGCAAGACTTAACCAAGAATTTCAAAGGCAAAAGAGGGGCATAACTATGCGAAAAAAAAAATCAGAGTTATGGGACTTGTGCCAATCATGTTAGATAATCACAGAGCACAAGTTTGTGAAGTTTCAATTCATTCCCTTTAGTAGTAATGGAGTTACCAGCTTACACACAAAAGCTTAACCAAGAATTGCTTAGTCAAAAAGGGGCATATTGAATATGCAAAAAAACAAATCAGAGTTATTGGACTTGAGCCAATAATGTTAGATAATCACAGAGAACAAGGTTGTGAAATTTCAATCTATTCCCTTCAATAGTTATGGAGATACCAGCCAAAAACTTAACCACAGGGACAACGATGCCGACAAATGGGTGACTGCATTGGCTTGATTATTCTGTGAATAGTCAAGCTAAAAATGCTTTAAAAATGTTGTAAAAGGCAATTTCTTGAAAGAAAACAAGTGACTTTTGAAAACATTTTTTGGGTCACAGTTATTAATTTTAGTACATATTATTTGCAAAATCCCCAGACTGGTGTTGAGAACTATTTAAACTAGTTTTAGAAAAGAAAGTATTGTTAATAAAGCAAAAACAATGTTCCAGAGATTCTCTTAAAAATGTTTTAGTAGGCTTTCATATTATTCTTTCTTTTCTTTTCTTGCAAATGTTTCCAAATACCATGTAAAACTATACATTATTTTAGAATTACAGTAAAATTAACTTAAGAGACACAGATATGTTTTGGCTGTTACTGAAATATTGTTGAATTTAATGCCATTCATCATGGGTGGTTTAGCAATATGTCATAAAAGTTCTACAAAAGAATATCAAATGGCTAAATGCTGAGGAGGTAGGACATTTAATGTTAATAATTCTGTGAAAGTCTGTTATTTGAAATCCCTTGAGAAATGTAGTAATGGAAGGAGAAGGGCACAGAAAGAACAGTTTCACTAAGTGATGCCCATCAGCCAGCCCAGTATCAACTTACCCACCAGAATTTCCCAAACATGGACATCAGAGTTATTCCACTCTATCAAATACTCTAGAATATTTGTATGGAATCTTAATGCAGCAAGGCTCACAATTCCATTACCATCACCATCCAGCCTACGATAGTCAGCCCCAAGCTTTATCAAACCTTTCAAAACAGACAACCCCCCCAGCCTTTTCCCAAAAAGGGGTTGACGTAAATTTAAAAATAGAGGGAAAAAAAACCCTGTTTTTTTTTTAAAAAAATTTACTTGAAACACATAAGAATCTTTTTCACCCTTTCCCATTTTTTAGAACAGTACCTTGTCCGTAAACACATTTTTCTCTCTTTTGTTTTATTTTTAGTCAAATGGGCACTTAACAAAGACATTTTTACAACTTTCCCCTATTTAAATGGGTTAAAACAACCTTTAAAATTAAATTTTAAAAGGGTAAACCCTTTCCCTTTAAAAGAATTATGATACTTCTCGAAGAAAATAATTTCAACATTATTTAACAGTAAAAACTTTGTAAAGAATTATAAATAGGGCTTTAATCTCACTCATTTCTTGTCACAAGCTCCATAAGTCCTTTATTTTTCCTTATCATCAAACAGAAATAAGGAAGTGGGCAAAAAAGCAAAAGATGAAATTTTTTGCCCCCAGCCATCCTGAAGAGCTAAAAATTTAGATAGTTTTTGCCAGTAAACAGGGGAACTGTAATCCAGAACCCCACATCCGCAGCCACATTTTTTGCTGTTACCTGATCAAGCATAAATAAAACATGCATTAATTGAAAGACAGGTAACGTTACAGCATAAGTAAAATAAAAATTAATCAAATATTGTAGAAAATGGTCGAAATGAATGCAGAAGTCAAAATAAAATCTAAATGAAGAAGTATTGAGTATGAAAAACTAGCAAAAGCAAAAACCTTATATAATATAATTAAACTAAGTATTTATTCCTAAGCATAACAAAATGAAAAAGTTTACGTTAATTACTTCATAAAACAATTAGAATAAAAAGAAATAATAATTAACTTAATCAATAAATCGATAAATTATTACTTTTTATAAACTAGAAAACTTAAAACAATTAACAAAATAAAAAGAAAGAAAACAACAATAAACAATGAAAAAAAATATATTTTCTTATTTCATTTTTTTTAGTTTTAAGTATTGAACTTAAAATAAAAAAAAATCAGTACCTGTCATTTAAATCTACAAATAAAACAAATCAATTTTTCCAATGAATGATAAAAATATCTGCTTATAATACAGACATATTATTTTGCCACTAAGAATGTTTAAACTAAGAAATAAATAAATATTTGAATAAATCTGCCTTAAATTAAGAAGTTATGGATTAGTACACATACTGGTGGTGTCTGTGAAAAGTGATTAATCAGTTACTGAGACTACATCAATATATTTCAATTGAATATTCTATATAAATATTGTATAGTCAAACAAGTGATATGCACTTTTTGCATGATTAAAAGTTGTAATGCACTTAAAAAAAACACTTAACCATCAATTATCAACCTTTACTCCAACCATGAACTTTTACTTGAATTAAAAACTTTTACTTCAATTTAAGAACTTGTGCATAAAATATGATATATTTATTTGCATAAAAAAGCAAAGTTTTCTTTTTAATTTACAATAAAAGAAATAAAAAAGTAACACAAATAAGCTATTATTATGCATTAATTAAAAGGTATATTTGCATGAACAAGACATTTATGCATAAATAAAGCATAAGTATTGTAAAGCTGGTTAAAGTTCAATTAGTATCAATTATATATTGCATAAATGTTTATAATATTATCATTTTAATGTTATATTTGTTAGAGATGAAAATGACAAATGTTCCAAAATGCGGAAAAATTAAAATGGTTACATCTGAAGTATTGACTTCAAACATATTACTTAAATATATTATTATTTGTTTATGAATCCAAATCAACATTTAAAGTTTATCACATAATTGTCACTCAATTAAAAAAAATCTAATAATATAATAATTACAAATTAGTCCTTGCAAAACATTTTTATAACTCAATAACTTGTAATTTCAAAACATCCATTGAATGTCACAAATACCTTTGATTATCTATCTAATTTAAGTAAGTGAAACTTTTAAAACGTTTTATGGAATAACGCTGTTATTGAACAATAAATTGTGCTTTATGGAATGATAGATGATAATAAGTAGTGTTTTAAGCTATCTTCATAATTGAGGCCATGCATTTGAAGTTTTTTTAAAAAAAATTACATTTTAATTATGCAAGTTTAAATACTTGGGTGGCCAGGGGCCTGACATATTATAAGGGTTAAGAACAGTTGCATTTCTGTTGCTTTTTTTTTTAATTGAAGAGGTCACAATATATAGAGATGATAATCTAATGTCCTGTTTGTACTTTGTATCGTACTAAATACATCATGAAATTAATGCTTAAAGATTATTTCTAAAAATGTTTTAAGACAGATCTTTGGTGCTATAAAAACCAAGGTAGCGACCCTCCCAGAACCTTTGGCTGCCAATTCCAACATTCTTTGAAAACAGTAATTATACATTCTTTTTTACAGCAATTATTCAAATCACTGAGAAATTCAAACATAATAATTCAGATCTTTATGACAACACAACATTTAAGTGTCATGTTTTTCCCCTTCTATTTGTAGATTTTTTTTGATTTTTTCAAATTCATTTTCAACTTTTGCCTTTTTTCTGCCAAACTATTAATGAAACCTGCATGATGCCAAAATTTGCACCTAAGATATATACACTAAAGTCAACTTAATCACCCTAAAACAAATGATTATAATTATCTTCCTTAAGATTTTGTTTCAGGGCCTCAACCAGTCAGTATAATATATAACATCTCAACATAAACTCGGCTTTCAGAAGTCATCCAAGCTAGAGTAAATCTTCAATAACAAATACTTGAGCATTCTAAACTACTATCAATTTTCAATAAATTATTCAAAATGGCCGTTTTGAACGTATTCTCAAATATTGAAAACACCTATTTTTCAACATAAACATTGACAAATTTATGGCTTGAATAACAAGTACATTTATTTGCTGGCCACTTCACCTACAAAGAAAAGTGCTAAAGTTACCCACTACTGTTGATAAGAAGATGAGTTTTTCTTTGGCTTTTTGGGACCATAGATATTAAACAAACAATAATCGTGACATTTAACTAATAAAGGTGACAAGAAATTATTTAAATATTTTTTTAGGACATTTCTGATCATTTTCTTCTTCATTTATAGAAGTATTTTTTAAAATTATAAATCTGCCTAAAATTTAAAAAGACTGCCCCACTCTTTTAATAAAATAAGCGTTATAGGTAAATTCTAATGGATATTTACAGAAATTTCGTTTAGATCTGTGCGTTATTTATTGTTTATGCAAACTTATTTATTAAATTAAAAGGAATTATGGCAAAATGAAAACTTATTTTGATCTTCACCCGTTCAATCACTATATATCCTTGGATGGGCATAATGTCACTTTAAACATATTAATTAATTTTGTGCTGTCAAACATTATTCCTTGAAATCAGGGTAATAATTTATATCTTAGGATTATTCAAAAATAAAGAAAACTGATTATTTCAGTTTAACCTTTTTCATTACATATCTCTATGTACAAATTTGTTAACACATATAATAAATTTTAATGTTTTCAAAACACTTAATTTGACATGCATTATTAGTGACATTTATTAAATTTCAATTATTGGAGGTTTATAAAATCCTCATTCAAGATGCTTCAAATTATTTAAGTCAGGAATTTGAATGGTTTAATTAAGCAAGGAAATGAATTTACTGAATATTATGACATTAGATGTTACATCAACTAATTTTGACATTATCAAAATACAAATTTATTTAATATTTAACTCTCATTAATTGATTGACAGTTTTTACCCCCGAAAAACAAATATTACTACATATATCTGAAATTTTGAGAAAAAAATGTCAACTATCAAGAAACCTTATTTTTCCATCACTTTAAATAAAGTTTAAAATGTTTTAACCACATACAAGTTTATATAAACTTAATCTTTATAGACAATGGAATAAAAGGAAACAGAATTTAGGAGTCTATAGCCTGTCATTCATTATGAAAGTACTCTTCTTTCATGAAGATAAAATACTTGTATCTCACAGAAATGATGTTTTTCATGAATGATAAATTAACAAGGGCCCAAAATATGTCTTTGTTATAAAATACAAATGAAAATAAAGCAAATAAATGAAACATTACATGAATATCTTTATTCCTTGGACACCAAAATATGTTTAAAGTTGATCATACAAACAATTTTCTTGTTTTGTTTATGATGACTATTTGATATAAATATATATTACCGTATTTCAGACGCAAGGTTAAAAACTCACAGATCTTTCTTTAAAGCTCAATTAATTACTAAGTTAACTTGTTTTCTGAAATTCCTTATTTTAAATTTTGAATTAAAACAATAGTTGATTTTGTCATGTGTTAACACTTTACAAAACAGTTCATGCGTTTCAAATATCAAACAAACAGTAAATCATGAATTAATAATCACATCAACATGAAAAATGTAAAGTTGTAATTAATTCACATTTCTTTAATATGATTATATGTCATACAAGTTATATATTTTAATTTCATTTTCAATATATTAATAATCAAAAACAAAGGTCAAAGTTCAAGGTCGCTTAACACAAGTACCTAGTGACCCAGGCTGTGGCGACATCATCACTACCTCCCTTTCTTTACCAAGACTGGCACTCCCAGCCCTTGATGCTAAAAATAGTAATCCAGACTGGTCTCTTACACAGTATCTATTTTTAATTATTCTAAAATCTATTTTTATACCATACTTCAAATATGTAAAATCCATTTTTCTTTAAATATATCAAAAAATGAATGAACAAATGTACAAAAAAATGAAAAACTAAATACTGTAACTTCAAATGATGAAGAAAACACTGCTTAATGAATAACACACAGAAGAAAACAAATACAGGGATAAAAAAATATTATAAGACAGTGACCTTGAAATGTATATCTGGTTAATAAATCATAACTTAGAGATAGGATTTTAGAAAACAACAACTTTGAAGTTACTCATATATATAATATATTATTTATAATCATGAGTTTCCTACACGGTATTTCTAAGAGTTATATTATTGACAATTAAAGGACGATCAGTCTAGCACAATATATCGGTTCATAGTCCTTAAAAAGCTATTTTCATTCAAACCTGATAAATTTTAATGTTTAAGCAGAAATCGCCTAATTCAGGATCATTAATTAGGATCAAAACCAAGACAATTGGAAATCTTTATTGATCTTAATTGGATTAATTATATCCTTAATGTGAACATGGTGCTAGACATTTTGGATTATTCTTTTGCATGATTGTATTATAACATTTAATGGCGCACTGAAGATGAATTTTATAAATTAATTATTATTTTTTTATACTCTGCCCACCATTTCAATTAGATACAAAATCAACACACTGGCTTAATTATAAATTAGACAACATGATTAGTTTCAACATCATTATATTCAAAGCTCCAAAATAAAGAAGCATGAACTTGCAACTTATATTAAAAGAAAATCAATTTAGAGTTTAGTTCCTGGCCTCACTGACCAGTACTAGCCATGACCTCCGAGGCTGAGTCTGAGGCTCAAACTCGCAATTTGTGGGTCATGGGGCAGACACATTAACCATTAGGCCACCGCTCCCCTCAACAGCATGGTTAAGAGCAGATGAGCTATTTATCAGACTGAGAATACCTTTCGCTGCTGTGTTTAAAAATGAGAAGGAAAATTAAAACATAACTTGAATTTTTAAAACCTGTAAAAATTATACTGTATCTTGTATTGGCAATTGCTCTTATACTATTTGGGGATAATTGAAAAATAATATGTTATGGCACTAATATAGTAATAATATTAAGATCATACTGTGAACATGATATATTCAGTGGTTAATTTGTTCATTATATTTAGTATACAGATTTTTATGTAGCATGGCTGACAGGTAAAAGTTTAAAAACACAACCGTGACTTTGCCATGTTTCCAATCTCTTCAAGTTGCAGACACCAATCAAATGCTAAGACATTACAGTAGTACAAGCAATACAACCAGTACAACATCATTGTACCACACTTTGAAGTAATTTTTTTTTTCTTATTGAAGATTTTTTTCCTTTTTTTGTTCCTCTGTGACCAAGGCAAACGTTTTAAAACAGAATGAGCATTTACCTTTACATAAATTGGCCATGATGCTCTTGACCTTTGTGCACAAATTTTGTCCACAATTATAACAGCATGGAAATGTTCACCAATTGGTACAAATCATCAAAATACAAATACATAATTATTTGGTAGTTCAGCCTTTTTGAAATCCTGATAAAACTGGTAAAACTTCTCAGTTCACAACGAATTAAGTAATATATTATTACATTATCCTCACGTTGTCAAGGAAGTTCATGACGTTGTGACGTCATAACGTCATTATAAATAACATTACATAAAGTTTACTAAACAAAAGTTACATGAACAGCTATTGCATTATGAAGCAAATTACACAAGTTGAGTAATATTAAAAAATATGTCACTGTATCATATATTGCAAGCCTATAGAATTCCGTGAGTGTGTAATGGGTTATTATGATTCTAAGCACCTTTAACTTCTGATCACTGTATCATATAATGCAAGTTGATACAATACAATGGAAATAGTATGAACAAGTTACATTAAAAATCAGAATGTGACGGTGAATATTATCATACTCCATATAGAATTCTAAACATATAACATGGTTATAACTATAATATAATGTTTATGATAAATGGTTATGATAAATAATAAATTTTTACATTGCGGTTACGATAAAGAGTATCTTGATCTGATTAAAGGGGACTCCACTGAGGTTTTTTGACAGGTAACTCAATTTTTAATTTTTCAAGACTTGTAAACCATTTAATGTAGGTACCGACCAAGAACTTGTGTGCAAAATTTCAGATCATATCCTTACTCTGTTTTCCGAGAATAATTATGTGAAAAATGACCAAAAACGAAAAATCACACATGATCTTCACAAATACCCAGCTAAAAACATGAAAAAAAAAAATCAATTTTTAATTCAACTCTGAGTATATTTCTGTATTATATTGATCTGCATAACAAATTCAAGCTTTATGTTTTTAAGCTTTTTGACCTCAGTGGAGCTCCTTTAAGGGTTGTATTTTGCACTGATTGATTTTGATAGGTAAAGATTGAATGCAAAAATTTCAACATTTCAAATCAAGGTATTGTTACAATAATGATCCTTTCACTATAATATACCTCTGTGTATTTTAACCAAATATTCCATCGTAAAAAAATCAAAGAAGTTTTGAAAAATTATTATTATTTTATTGTTATTTTTTGTGACTTTAATGCCATTTTAACACATTTTTGGCCATATATCTGCTGCTGATCCACCACACTGGCTTTCCTGGATAACTTACCAGTAATTACCAATTCCTCTGCAAGAGACCAAGTCTCTTATCCCAAATAACCAAAGACCAGTGGAATCTTTGTCTAAATGTCAATAACTATTGTCACAGAGAAATTTCGCTCCCTCTGCCCCCCCCCCCCTTTAGATTGAACCAGGGACCCCTGGGTTACAAATCTGATCCCCCCCCACCCCCCAATGAATAGGCAGACTAGGTAAATTCAAAATTCCAGTTTTCATTACTTTTTATCTGCTCTAAAAAGAAAGGTAATTTTCTTTACAATAATTAATTTGGCTGAATACATAGTCAGGTATATAATATCAAAGTATAGAGAGTGACTGCTGTAAGATAAAGGTACAATTAGTAGAAGTATAAATTGTAGTTCTTGCTGAAGCCAGAGAAGTCCATCTGCCCATAATTAACAAAGATGAAAAAAAAGTGAACTAAGCTGCCAAAATGTGATCAATATAATTATATAATTGAAGAAATTAAGGCCAAACAAAAAATATTAGCTGCTTTTGGTTTCATCCCCAAATACAAACCACAAAGTTTCACTTATTTCTATTTATAGAAAATGCCTAATATCAGGACAGTTTTTCACTTGTTATACTGTTAAAACCCCAGTATAATTTCACACATTTTTTGTTATTTTATGCTGAAATGTTGTGATCATTTTGGTAAATGAGCAAACCAAAAGCAGACATTTTTTTCTGGCCTTTAGAATTAATTCAACTGTCTTTTACATATGATATGTTTAGTCTTTCACATACTGGTAATAAACATGAAAACATGAAATATTTTTGGAATTACACAAAAAAATCTACCGTTTGGTTACATATATACATATTTACAACTATAGAAAAAACATCAACTTTGCGCTTTTTATCTAAAAGAATTTGTCTTTTCATTTAACAAGTCTATGTAAAGTGTTACAAGCATATATACATATTGTAAAAGACAGTTAAAGTATTGTCCATTTGTCAAGGTGGTAGCCATTTTAAACAAATCATTCTAGCTCTGTTGATTATTGTGATGGAAAAATTGTACAACATTAATACAAGATTTTAACTATCTAAACATCTAAATGAATTATGTTTCCAAATACAACTTCTATCTTTCTTTCCAAGAACAGTAACTCCTTTACAGAAGTTGATTTTCCAGCTTTTGTAATATACAAAAAAACATTTTCATTCAAAATGGCTACCATTTAAAAATTCTACATCCTGTGTGTAATTCTGGGAAATCTATGTTACTATTTATAGATTAAATTTACATATTTCAAGCAAGTAGTAGGACATTCCTCCAGGTGCATTTGATCCTTTGTTTTCACCACCCTCTGTACAAATTACAAAGATACAAGACTCAAATATAACTAAACATGCAAAATGCAAGCCAGATAATAACTACCATGCATAAGAAGAATATAGAAACAATTATTGTTTATAAAAGCAACAGTTTCAGACTAAAAGAAAAAAACTGCTGACTCAACACTTTTCTCCTAAGGCAGTCAGATTGAATTTGGAAAGTCAAAAAAAGATAACTTATATTTTTTATTGCCAAGCCAAAAAGTGTTCGGGCATCACCTAAAGCCTATCCGATATGAAAATTAGCTTTTATTAGCAATGTTGTTGAGTATTATGTATAAATGCACAAGACTCATGTTGTTTATTTCAGCAGAAATGTAATGAATTATAATTATATCTTAAACATAAATAAATATAATACTGAAATGTTCAAATATGAATATATAAAAATGTTAATGTGTTCAAACAAAAAACAATGTGTTCAAAATGGAATTCATACAACACTAATTATGGTCACTTTACTCAGGGAATGCATACAGCACACAATGATACACTTAGTCTATAGGATTTGTATGAAAAATTAATATGCTTAAACAGAAAATTGTCTAAAAAGGGAATTAAAAACACTGGTTTCATAACATTCACTTTAGCAGTGAAACATTTAACACAAAATGACATATATTTGCAGTATTTACAGGTATTTGCTTAAACATAGGGATGGCTACCAACAAAGTAAAGGTTATAATATTATGGTGACTTTTCACATAACTGGTGGAGGAAGACCTCAGGTGCCCTTCAGGGTATTATTTCTGGCACCTGAGTAGAACCACTGACGCTCTGTAAGCTAACTGGATAGCTTTCTAACATGAAAGAATCTAAAGTCCCAGTCAGGATTTGAACTCTTCTATGGTGAGAGACAAGTGATTTGAAGTCAAAGGCCTTAACCACTCATATAAAAGTCATTAAATAACACTTCAAGCAAATGTTAGTTTTGATGTGTTATTTTTCAATATCAACCTGGATTTTTAACAAAGATATAAATGACCTTTCAATATAAGCACATCAAAATATGGGACAAAAATCAGGGTTAACACTAAACATTATAATGAGGGAAAGCAGTGGTGTACAATAATCAAAGGGAGACAATAAATGTAGAATTTATCAAATTCAAACACATGGCCATAAGGGCAGGAGGGGGAACAATCTGTACATAATTTACCAGTTTCTAAATCTTGTTTTACTTTTCTTGATCTAGATCTACGTTCATTATGATCTATTCAGGAGAAAAATAAACAAAATGCAACTTTAAAACTAACAGGAAACAAACAAAAACTAAATAAGATGTGTAATTAAGTTTTAAATGTTCCTTCTTGTAAAAAATAACAACATAAATATGTGTTTTTTTTTTCAATATTGAAAATTAGATACAAATACTTAGAGATTACTTTTCAAAGATGAAAAGGAATTTAAAAATCATTCTTCTTTTACAAAGATAAATTAATGGTTTATATAATCAAGTCCTCTTAATTGGCAGACAAGTTAAACAGAAATAACTAAAAAAACATTCTGAAAATAGAGAATCACAATGCACATATAGACAAAAAGTACTTCATATGTGTTCTCTTTTTTTACCATGCAAAAAAAAGAGAAAAATGTCAAAAGTCATAAAGACTTCCACCTGTGAAACACACTGTAATGCTAAAACAAACATGAAAATTTCAACATGCTCAAAAGAAAGAAAATGACACAAAGTGAATAGAAGCATTATAAAACAAGAGGAGAAGATATTGGCTAGACTGCCACTAATTGTTCAAAAGATAAAGAGGGCCATATAACAGTGTTCAGCATGCTTAGAAGAACCAGAAAAAAACTCTCTGTATGTGAAAACCATGCTCTACTATTCATTTTAAAACATAAAACATTGTACAAACCATTGTTTGTCATTGGTCCTTTTTGAATAACAAAAATGTATGTTTTCACTCAATACTTTCTTTTATTATCAAATGCTTATAAACACCAAAATCTTGCCATTGTTATTACATAATTTACATAGAAAGGACATTTATACTTCTTGACTCCCTGACAGTGCAATTATATATTAACCCTTTTATAACTAATGGTGACATATTATCAAGATTGGTTCAACCAGTACTCAGTCAGGCCAGCCTATACAACAATGGGTACAACTTAATTTATAGTATTTTGATTCTGAAACCCCTTGAATTACTAATGAATTGTTCTAAATTCAAAAGCAGGACAAGGGCGTTAACACAAATTCTGTACAGATTTAAGGGTTGCTTGCAAGGAATTCAACATTATATAGTCCTAAATTGTTAATCTGTAAGTTAAAGAGCTTGGCAGTTGCAATTTCTGGACATGCTGTCAAATGATGGTTACCATAGATACCTATTAGACAGTGTTCAGGAAATTGACCTTTGACCTTTCAGGACATTTATAAACGGCCAACAAAGAAATCTACATACATATAAAATATGGAATCTTGTACAGCAAGGTAACATTTTATGTGTTTGGATAAACATTAACAAACATAAGAACTATGTTGCGCAATGAAGATATTATAATAATGTCGTTTGATAACTGAACTGAAGGATGTAGTTAACTACATAGTAATGAAAGATTTACTTATGAAATCACTTGATACTGCATAACTAAATGCAAGCCTGTTTTAACCAAAATCTTTATACTATCATAAGCTGTTCAAAGTTAACACAGTAGCACTCTAAACTTTGCATACTAAACTAGCATACATCAGAGCACAAAGCAGCATATAGCTTTATGTTTTATACATTTTTATTCATGGAAATATCATGTAAAATATGTTTATTCATGGCAACATCATGTAAATATGTTTATTCATGGAAATATCATGTAAATATGTTTATTCATGAAAATATCATGAAAATATGTTAATTATTCATATTCCTTAGCAAAATAATAATAATGGTCATTTTAGATGATAGTAAATCCGAAGGCACATCAGATTTATTATACTGAAAACATGTCTATCCATGGCAACATGTAACAATTCTATTGTCCATAGACATATTAGATAAACATTTTCATCCATGGACAAAACAGGTTAACATGTATATACATGGAACAATAAGATAAACATGTTGATCCATGGCCACATCTAACAACTCTGTTATCAATAGACATATCAGAAAAATATTTTCATCCATAGACAAATCAGATAAACATGTATATACATGGACACATCAGATAAACATGTTTCCCTTCGGGCTTATAATTTGACTTTTAATAACAAATAATATAACTGAGTAGTTTTATCAAAATAAAATATCAGGTAGAATATAACCATACCTGTTCCCATGATATTGTTCCTACGAACATTTACATCCATGGATTGTATCAGCAACATTGCAATGATCTGTGGATGGTTGTTCATGGCTGCATAATGCATTAAAGATAAGCCATGCTCATCTTGCTTGCCTAGGCGCGAAGCCTGCATCATTTTACGGCACAGAGCCGAAAACATGGCCACTAGCCCTCTCTTCGCACACTCCTTCAAACCGCTGTATGGAGTCTGCAAGTTATAAAATGTGATGACAATTCTCTGAATCACCAGGTTTGTTTGTTGGGTTTTAAGTTACATCAACACTGTTAAGGTCATATGGCTACTTTTCAGCTTACAGACATGAGTGGGCACCTGAGTAAAACCACTGGCACTCACATATTGTAAGCTAGCTGGATAGGTTTGTCACATAAAAGAATTTAAAGCCCATGGTTGCATTTGAACCTAAAGCAATGAATGAGGCTCTTTCAATAACTACTAGTACTAGTTTTAAATGTAAATATAAATACTAGGAGATATACACATTGAAAAAGCAGCAGACTGATTTTATCCAAACTAGGAATGTATCCATAGGCCATGGATGACCACTGTTAATATGTTATTATCTTTAAATGGACAATGTGACATCCAGACAGCAGGAAAGACTGACAAAGGCAAGTCTATATGCTGGCTCCTCAGAAGTTTGGCACATAAAAAGGGAAATACCTTGCATTTGATAGCCTTCTTGTAGCCAAAGTATTTCTTAAACTGCTCATGTAGATGAATGTCACTCATGGGTAACTTCTTGGGTTTCAGTTTGTTAAGCTCCTCATGGTACACCTTCACCCATAGTGGTTTCTGAGGGTTGGTTGGGTAGAAGGTCTCAAAGTCCAGACACATCACATAATAGCTGTAAAATTTATGTAAGGGAAAGAACTCACTATCACCATTTTACATATTTAAAACGTAGTTACTCCCCTTCCAAATATAAAGAAATGCAATTTACTACAGAAACAAATTTTCAAATGTATTCCTAAATATAAATAGTAAACACATAAAGAGTTAAGAATCAAAGAGTTAAACTTGATGGTAATGAATATCTCACTTTAATCTTTGGCAATGGCATACAAATAAATCTTATCAAATACATGCCACCAAATTAGACCCAAATTTTAACTAATCATTTATATAAGACCATGTCCCCTAAAAAAATCTAAACTTGAACCAGTTGGTTACATAATGCGCCTTACAGTTACATGTAAAATTCTCTCTCAGCCTATAACCTAAACATTGATTACACATTATAGTTATTTAAGTTCAAATGCAACCGCAAGTTCAAACTCACTTTTTTCCATTTATTGTTGTCATGGGAACCTTGTAATGGTCCATCAGAGTGTTCTCCAGCTCAATAACCTTGCCTAGATACGCTGTAGCATCTTTCATTATATTATCATACACATCTTCAAACATCTCAGCATTCTCTGTTAACTGATCCGTCTCCAAATCTATCATCACACCTGTATCAAACATAACAATATTAGTTCATTTAAAGCGATATTATGCCCATCCCAGGGGAAAAGGTGAACGTCAAAGTAAGTTTACATTTTGCCATAAATGGCGCCCACAAGTAATGTTTTCTATATGAAAAGCATGTTGAATAAAACTGTGAAAACAAAATTACTAAAAATTAAACACCCCAAATCAGTAAAACTGAAATGTTGCGGGCTGACTGAGTTTGATTGAGCCTGTTCATGGATGGAAGTGGATATTGCAAGCTACTGCCAACACCCCCTAGCACCGGCTAAATGAGAATTCAACATTTAAACATAAAATTGTTAAAATTTGGAATTTAGAATCATTCACAGATGTGTTCATACAGCGGTTAAACCCCAGTCACACTAGAGCTTAAGATTACTTGCGACCACCGGCGACTTGTAAAACTGACGATCATCAGCGATTGTCTGCGACCAAAACCATTTTTGCACGTATAAATTTACTTCTGCGACTATCGTAAGACCAGTCATCATTGACAATCGCACGACAGGTCATAAGCAAACGTACGATGGTCTCAAGATTGTGTGGGATTACTTACGACTACCCGTAACCTGTCATGCGATCACCTACAACTAGTCGTACGACCATCACACGATTACTAAAGACTACTTAAGATTATCAGTGACTAGTGGCAATTTGTAAAGACTGTCATAAGATTGTCGCACTTCTGAACGACCATCGTGCGACAGCCTAAAACCTTATAAGATCACTAGCGACCTGTTTGATCGCAAGGAGGTTTTTGTGCAAGCTCAAGATTGTCCGCGACCAGAGGTCACTAGTGATCGTGAACTGGTCTTCACTGGTCGTAAGCTCTAATGTGACTGGGGCTTTAGTTATAAATTGGCAAGTCGAGCAATTCCATGAAAAGCGGCGTATTGTTCCAAAGTAAAAGAATGTGTGTGCCCTAAACAAGAAAACAATGGAATCTTGAAAGGAGATCAGAGGTTACATAATGCATATCTTATTGTGTATATACTTTATTAAATTATAAAATAATTTCTATTTACCTCCATGAAGATGGAAGTAGTGGTTCCCGAAGCTGAAATTCTTGCATTTGAAATCCTGACTTAACATCAAGGGAGGTAACTCTCTTTCTGTTCTACACTCATCACCTGTGAATGAAAAATTATGCTAAAATAAATCTGTATATCTATACCTTTCTAATTTATCTAATTCTGGTACTTTAAAACATACAATTTATGGTGGTATTATTTTTTTTTCAAATAAAATCCCATTTTCAATGATTACTTTATGTAACTCTCAGCACTTTCTATAAAATTTGTCTGAAATAATTGATATAATCTGAAGACAAACAAGTTTAATAATTATTAACAATGACAACATAACTTACATTACAATAAGTTTTTTTTACAATATTTGACTTTACAAGAATACACAGTCCCAATGCTGCAAAACATTCCTTTTTTATGGTAAATTTTATGGTTAAATTGGTAAATTTTACATGTTTAACTTCACAAGTCATTTTTTTCAATTAAGTTTCTTTAACAACTTAAATTTTTCTTTAAAATAATCATTTTTTATTATACCTGAACATTTTATCATCTATGTACTAATTTTCCTTACCATATAATGTAGAAATCAGTTTTTGCCCAGTTCAAATATAAAATTTTTAATGCCAGAAATGGCATCATTTACTTACTCACTCTATTCTAAATGCAACTTATAGTAATTTGGTATAAAAATTTAGTGCTCTATTAAGACCAAGATAAGTATCAGTATATAACCAAAGCAGCCTTTCTTTCTTAATATTACCTATTTTTTATCTTATCGTAGTTTGTTGGAAAATTATGTTTTTGTTTACTACAGTTTTTTTCTCTTGCAAATTATCCTTTTATATTTAGCACCTCCCCACATTTTCAGCATTTTTCCAACTGACTCAAGAAAATTTTTAAAATTGATTAAACAAAACTTTATCTTGTTTAAAATATAATATCCCTTTTCTTAACATTTTCTTAAAGAGATTCATGTTTAAGCTCTTTGAAATTATTTTAAAATGTCTACAACAAGATATATATTAGTTTGTAACGTATGTTAAGTAAAATAATTAATTGAAAAATGTAAAATGAATGTATATTATGTAAAAAGGAAAATGTAAATAAACAGGCCTTAAACATGGTTCCAAAAAAAGAAAAAAAAAAAAGACCAAAATAAGCATATTTTAATAATAATAAACCAGTTTTATAGAAATCCTTCATGTAACAGTCACACACAGGTAAGTGTGTAGCAATTGAACTCAATGTAATTGGATAACATTGCAATGGCATTTTACTTTTCATAAACAAGATCTGTCCACGAGATAGCATCCTTGACTGTTCTCAGTGCTTTAAAACAGTAAAATAATGGACATAACTTATTATGTAAAAAAGTAACTCAGAGTTATGGGACCTGTGCCCATCATGTTCGATATAATCACAGAGAACTAGTGTGTGATCTAAGTTTCAAACAATCCCCTTTGGTAGTTTTGGATATACCAATATGCACACAAACTTAACTTAAGTGTGAATGGCAACACGGATGCAAGGATGAATACAAATTAGCTCTCCCTTAATTCTTCAAATAGTTGAGCTATTAAGTGTAAAGTCAGGAAAGTATTTCTACCTAATCTAATTTAACACCCAATGTGAGCATAAAGAAAAAAACGACTATAAAACAAAATATGTATAAGTCAATAACAACAGAACACAACAATATAAAAACACAAAATGAACGTCTACCATGCTCAGCATTATTCAGCTGCTAAAATAAGAATAAGATCAAAGTAAATAAATCAATAAATAATAAATTATCAACCTATTATCATTAATTATGATAATTGGTAAAATTATTATGATAAAATTACAACTGTGAAAATAATTTCCCCTTTTAAAACAGTAGCTGAACTGGTTTATAAACAATAATTTTATCATATAAAGAAACAAACACATACTCAGGTGCATTACAAAATAAAATAATCTACTATCTAAAAATGATCTATTTAAGTGCAAAGTACTTGTTGTAATTGTAACTTTTTACTGACATTAACAAAATGATATTACATCAGATCCATCTCCTATGGTTAAACCATGTTCCAAAACATATTATGTTCCACAAAGCCACAATGACATTATATCAGAACAACAATGAAGTTATTTCTTGCAAAGATAATGTTGTAATTTATCACAAAGCCAATAATTACATTATACAAAACACCTGAATGAAGATACTTCTCGTAAAGCTGATGACATTATATCAGGCCAACAATGTTGTAATTTCTTGCAAAGCCAATGACACAATGTTGTAATTTCTTGAAAAGCCAATGACACAATGTTGTAATTGCTTGCAAAGCTAATGGCATTATACCGGAACAAAATCTTGTTATTTCTTGCAAAGACAATGACATTTATATCAGACCAACAATGTTGTAATTTCTTGCAAAACCAATGGCATTAAGTAATTACTTGTAAATCCAATAACATTTAATCAAAACATCAATGATGTAATTTCTTAAAAAAGCTAAAGACATTATTTCAGATCAACAATGAAGTAATTTTTTACAAAGCCAATATATGACATTATATCAGAACAACAATCCTAAAACTACTTGGAAAGCCAATGACATTATATCAAACCAACAATGTTGTAATTTCTTGCAAAGCCAATGACATAATAGCAGACCAACAATGCTGTAATTTCTTGCAAAGCCAATGACATAATATCAGACCAACAATGTTGTAATTTCTTGCAAAGCCAATGATATTATACCAGAACAACAATCCTAAAACTACTTGGAAAGCTAATGACATTATATCAAACCAACAATGTTGTAATTTCTTGCAAAGCCAATGACATTATATCAAACCAACAATGTTGTAATTTCTTGCAAAGCAAATGACATAATATCAGACCAACAATGTTGTAATTTCTTGCAAAGCCAATGATATTATATCAGACCAACAATGCTGTAATTTCTTACAAAGCCAATGACATTATGTCAGAACAACAATCCTGTAACTACTTGGAAAGCCAATGACATTATATCAAACCAACAATGTTGTAATTTCTTGCAAAGCCAATGACATTATATCAGACCAACAATGCTGTAATTTCTTGCAAAGCCAATGACATTATATCAGACCAACAATGCTGTAATTTCTTGCAAAGCCAATGACATTATATCAGACCAACAATGTTGTAATTTCTTGCAAAGCCAATGATATTATATCCAGATGACCAACAATGCTGTAATTTCTTACAAAGCCAATGACATTATACCAGAACAACAATCCTATAACTACTTGGAAAGCTAATGACATAATATCAAACCAACAATGTTGTAATTTCTTGGAAAGCCAATGACATAATATCAGACCAACAATGTTGTAATTTCTTGCAAAGCCAATGACATTATATCAGACCAACAATGCTGTAATTTCTTGCAAAGCCAATGACATAATATCAGACCAACAATGCTGTAATTTCTTGCAAAGCCAATGACATAATATCAGACCATCAATGCTGTAATTTCTTGCAAAGCCAATGACATAATATCAGACCAACAATGCTGTTATTTCTTGCAAAGCCAAAGACATTATATCAGAACAACTATTAATGAGTAATTCATTACCAACCCAATGACATTAAATCAAGACAACAATCATGTTATCTTAAAAAAAAAAACTTAAACAATTTTGGAGTAAATAGCCATACCGGCAATATAATGTTTTGATGGTAAACACTAATACAGCAGAGTAACATGGCAGATAACTCTGTGCAACTCTTTGTATGAGAAGAGTTCAAGACTTACTTCCCTTTAAACATGCTATAAGGATATATCTGTGGCTGCTTTGCATTATTCAAATCAGGTATTATAAATTCCTTCTTGATAATCAAATTAAGTTACTATGAAACTGGTAATTCCCCATTGCATTACCCTTTTAATAACATTTTTTTTCTGAATTCTGCATTGACACTCTTGAAATACTAATATTTAAGTTATATATTTGTTTTAAATGCACAGAATTCCTTTGTCCAGTCAGTATTCATTGCCTGATCAGTAAGTAGTACTGTAGTGTAGCGGGACAAACTAATACTATTACATGGATAGGACCAAAATGTAAAATCAAAATATTTTATAAAAAGACATCACTTGGACTTTATTATTTCACCTTGAGGAATGGTTCTTTGTGTGAAAATATCAAGTGCAGTCAATGAATTTAAGATATTGAATTTTCTAGCCCGAATTCCAGTTTTGAATTCATTCTACTACATATTTAACTAAATTTTGTTAAAATTTTCACTGGCCCGAACGATTTTTCACTGGCCATGGGCCACTGGGGCCAGTGCTAAATTTGATGCCTACAAGTGTTATAAATTATCATTATGCAATAAATTATCTTTCAAATTAACAAAATCGCCTCCCATTTGTACGGTGAGAATATTGATTATATTAATTATCCTTTTTCATTACATCCAAAGGTCAAATTATAATGAAAATAGATTAATATTGAGATCTATAAATTATATATATGTGTTGCTAATGTGTTACAAGGTTCATCTCACATAAATGAAAATGGTAAAACAAAAATGCTATCACAATCTACTAAAATTGAGTGTTTGCAATCATAAATTACTATAAAACCTGAAACATAACATCATCTGCTTAGCAAGACTATAAGAACCAATGATTTTCAACGATTATCTTTTAAGAGACTTAGTCCTAAAATAGCTTGTATAAATTCAAACAACTTCCTTAAAATAGCATGTATTTATTCAAACATCTTCCCCACTTCCTGTCTCACCCATTTTTTGTCACAGACTGACATTATCAATTAAAGCAATAGTAATATGGTAACTGTTCACTGTTCAGTAACTTCCCCTGGTTAGTAAAGTAATCAAAGAATGAAGGGGAGATCACTGTATGAAGTTGATTTTTTTTTTTTAAAGAAAGCATCCAGTTAACAAGATTTATCTTGATCTAGGTCACACTGATGCTTGACTTCCTTTTCAAGCATAAAAAAGTGAAAAAATTGCAGATTTTCAAAATATTTTGTCAGAAATATCATCAAAGTAATAGTGCATTTACCTTGGACAGTATTTTTTTCAAATTATCATCGGTTCTTAACTAATGCTGGTTTTAACTGCATGCACTACAAATGATAAAAAATATAAAAAATATCACAAAAAAAATAAATCTTGTTTAGGTAAAGCCATTTCAAAATACTCAGATGGCAAAGTTAAAGGCATGCAAGGCATTATGATTGGTTGCTGCTACAGTTACCACGGCAACTTACTGTTGTGATAGGGCGTTGATGATGAGTGGGAGTAGCCTGTGAAGTAATTTACATACTCATTAATATTCATAAGCTTAACTAACAGACAGTGAAACAAAATGATTTAGCACTAAAAGTCTTTGACCCTCTCTCATTGATTATTTCTGTATGAAATTTCTAACTTTCAACAAAAAAGGAGAAAACATACAAACAAAAGAACTTGCGTCTTTTTGTTATTGATGTTGTTGTTGATAAAGAAAAACAAATTTACCTTATTCTTAACAATCAGGTTATTCATTTTTTAGATACACAACCAGTTTTGTCCAAAATAAATTAAACCAAGGACCATAACTCTCTATCAAGGGATAAAAACTGTTATAAAAAAAATACAGAGATTAAAGTTTTCAAAAGTATGTGCTTTGAGCTTCATTTTGTTTCACTATGATATATAAACATTTGTATGATATATATTATACATTGCTAATCTTTTTATCATATTATTATAGAATTACTATACAAGCAAATGATATGCTTAAAATTAATATATAATAAAGTTTAAACTTCTAGGAAAAATATATGAATTAATAAAGGTACATATTCAACATTTAAGTAAATGTGTGTGCAGCACATAAAGTTCTCTTTTAACACTTGTCAAGTGAAGTTGATCATAAGATTGCTAATTATCCTTAACCTGCTGGAACTAAGCATATTTTAGGGTGTACGTGAACGTAATAGCCAGGCCAGCCAGCATGCACAATCATGCAGTCTGACCAAGCTTTATACTGTTAAACGACTAACTTCAAGTTCTAAAATTATCCACAAAATTATTATTAGACAATTCGAAAATATGTGCTGTCAGTAGGACAACGTGCTAGACTATTCTCAGTGCTTGATATAGAAAAACAAGAGCCTGGAAAATGTAAATTTTTCCAAGTTCGAAAAGTACAATAATTCTGTCAAAATTCATATCAAGAGTTTGGGTTCTTGGACAATGACCTCCTCTAATGCTCTCACATAATAAGTGTGTGAAGTAATTTAATCCATTCCCTTCAGTAGTTTTGGAGATACAAACTTATGATCGCAAAAAACATAACCAAAGTGTGATGCAATTGACACTGATGCCTGGGTGAGTACAATAGCTCTCCTTATTCTTCAAACAGACAAGCTAAAACTGTAAGCTGGACAAGATTATTTTTATTTAAGCCGCGTCACGACAAAACCAACGTAATGCATTTGCGATCGCAAACGCATTATGTTGGTTTTGTGGTGACGCGGCTCATTTTATAATGCAGTAAATCAGCAGGTTAAAGGTTAAGACAATGCTATGATAGAATTTACTAAGAGAGAGATAAAATCACTCATTCAAGTTTTTCAAACAAAACAAAGTGAGATGAGAAATTTTAAATCATTTAAAATGCAAATAACCAACAAAAAAAAAATCTCATGACATATAATGTCCTTAATTACGTTACAAATTGTTTTGTTTTCAATACAAGCTTGTCTGTGTAGAGCTATATTTAGATTTAAAAAATTGTTACATAAATTAAAAAAATTAAATATTCATAAATTTTATTAATTTTAAAGCTTTCTAACATTATAAGTTAACTGCTTGCAAACTACTTTAATCATAATTTGTTCTGCTAAGATAACTATGTCATTTTAAGCTTTTATAATATACTATTCATATACATTGGCTCATAACAAAACATTAAATTCCACATGTATAACATAAATTTAAAAACATATTAATAATGATAATGTTTTTATATATTTATATGAACAAAAACAAACTGTATGATATTATGTTAAACGAAAAAAATCACACTCATGCATTAGATAAACACATGTTCACAAACACTTGTAAATATTCCCGCTGTTATATATTTCTTTGCATTGTCATATTATTCTAGAGTATTATTCCAGAAAATACATGAAATGAAAACCTGGCTTAAAGAATCCACGACTCAGCAAAATTGTAAGTATTTCAGACCGGGAATTAAAAAATTAAATTTAACTGCTGTTGGGTTTTTTTGGGTTTTTTTTGTTTTTTTTTGGACAAAATATTTGGTAATAATTCAGCCCAATTATACAGTATAATATATTTCTGAATTATGCAAATGCTGATTTCCCAGCAGTACTGTAATCACCGAGTACACACGAACTTTACTGTTTAAATTAGCTCTATGGTACACAGCTGTTCACATAATATCGTGATCCTCCAGTTGTGCTCTAATTTTCAATATATTTACCATTAGAAAGTGTGACACAAAGTTGTAACTGTCAAACTTTGTTTGTTACCTTAGCAGTTAAATGCCGCAAGTGCCAACCCAGACCGGCTTTTTCATTTATTTATGTAATTTGACCAGATTGTAAAATTACGTTACATTGCCTGCGTGATCCTATTATTTTCATAAAAAAATCCCCTTATATGTAATGGACTATTCCAAATTCCATTTATATCAGTTTAGCAAGGTTACAAGGTTTAATCCTTTCAGGATTAAAATGGCTGATTTTTTTGTTTGTTTGCATTTAGGAAGTAGAAAAAAAACTACAAAACCTTATTGTGGTGCCTTAAATTTATCCAGAACACTATAATTATAATAATACCCTTTCATCCATCAAACCCTGGCATATGGCATATGTTGTAACTTATAAACTCATGTATTTATTTAATGATTATGTCATCCATTAACAATGATTCTTCATTATGTGTTCAAGATGTCATGAAGACGAAAATAAAAAAAAATAACAAAATAAAACAATATGTTATATAGTTTTAACATAATCACAGACTGAAAATATATGTACAAGAATTTCAATATTTATAAAAACAACCTGAAAAAAACATAGAATTATAATAGTATAATAAATAAAATGTAAATGCATATTAGAACTATCTATATAAAATAAACAATAGTAATGCTATTTTTGGAAGTCACATGACTTTGAAAGAACTCTTCTATGTTAGAGTGTAATTTTGGACTATATACTCTATATATTAGGGGTGTCACTGTTAAAAAAATATGCTAACCGTTTAAACGGCAACCTAAAAACTATATTAAACATTTAACCGACCGTATTAATAAAATCCTTAGATTTTCAATTCTGTATGACAGGATAATTGACATTTTGTTTGTATTTTGCTGTACTTATAATTACATGTATTACAATACATATCCGAATATCGAGTAACAATTTTCTGTTAGGATCGTACTGCACTCAAGATACATTGTTGAATACATTTAAAATAGAAACAAATTGACATATCTAAAAAAAGTATTATAAAAAATCTAACTTAAGGTAATATTTAGAATCAATTTAAAACTTTTTCATCACTTTGAAAGATATTGACCTCGGTTACCGGTTATTGAATTTTCTATCCGGTTTCAAGCTAAAAATTGACCTGGTACCCGTTTAAACAGATAAACGTGACATCCCTACTATATATACATACGTACCTCTACTTCCTCTGTACCGGGACTCTACTCAAAACATCTCAACACATTAACATATATATTCAAAATATTATGAAGAAAGAAAAGTGTATGAAGCTCACAGATATCTCTGATGTAACTATGCCGAAAGTTTACACACATGTTGTTTGAAATACGAAAAAGATTATAACTCCAAAATACATGCATGGGACTATTTCCTTTTGATCAAATGGCGTACATTAAATTTTGTATGTACAAAATTATCGCTTAATTGTAAAAACATACTTAAAATAGCAGACTAATATTTTGTTTAGGAACATTCTATTTTGTTAAGATACAAAATTACAATAATTCATATGTGTTAAAAACACAACCATTCTAATTTATTGTCACAACCCTTTCGAGAATCAACCAGACTTTAGGTTATGGAAACAACACATTTTTACAATTTTTAAATTTACTAAAATATTTCAATAGATATATAGCTTTATACACTTTAACTCATGAATATTTATAGTATTAAACATGAATATCATATTATAAAAATACATTTACAAACATTCCCATTAAACTTAATTCATTAAATAAATGAACAGTCATATAAATTAACAACTCTAAAAATGAATATTTAAGACTTTAATTGTTAGTACCCAAATTTAAATATCATTGCAAGACTTGAAATATATTCATGAATATTCATGAATTATTGATATGGCAATTTCATTGAATATTCAAAAGCATAATTATTCACCAATAGTATAGTACATATATTAAATTTAGCCAATGTTCCAAGTTATTCTTTTTACATGCAAGCTAAACAATATAACAATATGTGACATCACATCCGGATAAACAAGTTTTTTTAAACGGAGAAAGATTAAATCCCCGGATCATGTTTGTTCATCATCTTGGTCTTTAATCTATTGCAGTAGATTTGCTTTCCTTATCATAATCATCAATTTATTTTCAGCCAATTGAATTTGCCTTTAATAATAAATCACTTTACATAACTGATGTTATGTAATGCCAATAAAATATTATAAAATAACAGTTTATTACAATACAACCATAACTTATTCATAACATTAGCTGAGTTACAGCAGTTTAATGATTTCCCCCTACCTATATGTTCTATCATAAAATAAACTTTCAATATTGTTACATAATGCAGACATCACTAATCCCTTGATCCAATTTGTTTAAACCATAACATAATATTAGACAGACGTTTTAAAACATTACCTAAATGTTTACCTATTTATTCTAAAAATATAAAAAATTCTTTAGAAAAGGGGATTTAAAAGTGTTTCCTTATCGCAGTTTTCAATAAAGATTGTTCAATTGAAATACATTTGTCCATTAAAACGCCATTTTCAATGTTTCGGGCTGTAAATTTGTGAATAATTTGAAATTATATGAAAATATTTGGCAAATATGTTATATAAATATATATGCATTGCCGTTCATCAAAATGGACGGCAGTTAATTATTGGAATATAAAACGAACAGCTATATATATTTTGCGAGCCAGTCTTAATGTCTGTCATCCAAAAATATCTACTTTGCGTCACTTCGAAACATTTTTATATACTGGAGGTATCTAAGGATATATTGTAATTGCTTTGGAATTTAGAGTTCAGTTGGGCATTAATAATTCTGGGCAGTAAATATATAATCAAAAGACAATGCTGTGTCAGTTGTGAATGTCAGATTTATCGCACACCAAAATCAAAATTTACCTATACAATTCTAAATGAATTTGTTCTTTACCATAAGTATTTTCTTTCACTGACAAATATTTGAAATCTTCATTGTTGCCTTAATGAAATAAGTTTTAGTGTTTACTTAAAAAAATCATATACCTATAAATAGCTCCTAACAAATGATATCCCTATTTAATCTTCTCTCAAAAAAGTGTATAAAGCAAACATTAAGTTGTCACCCATTCTAAATCACCCCACAAGAAGTTTCAATAAAATTTGGTCCCCACATGTTGAAATTTTGATAAATTTGAAACAGAACATTACTTTTTTTGGTGTCTAAAGCAAACTTCAGTAACTGTTACTTGTTACCATAAAAAAACCTTGATTTTGCCTATTTAAATTTGGGTTAAAGATTAACTTGACAGGTGTACAATATACAGTATAATACATTTGTACTTCATTACATGTTGCATCATAGTTAAAGGTCGATTAAGCCTAAAAAATTATCATATTGCATCAAAGTTAAAGGTACATTAAGCCTAAAAAAATCTCATTGCATCATAGTTAAAGGTCCATTAAGTCTAAAAAATTCTCATATTGCATCATAGTTAAAGGTCGATTAAGCCTAAAAAATTCCTATATTGCATCAAAGTTAAAGGTACATTAAGCCTAAAAAATTCTCATTGCATCATAGTTAAAGGTCCATTAAGCCTAAAAAATTCTATAAAGTCTATCTTTCAAAAGCTTATTTTTCTTTTATTATTTTTTTTTCTTTTAGAAATTGGTATAGTTATAGAGAAGCATTTGGATGGAAGTAAAAAAATCACTTTGTTTACAGTTTTTTACCCATTATCACATTTAAGTCATTTCACATTCAACACTGTTTTCAAGTTATTTCACATTTAATGCTTTTTAAGTTATTTCACATTCAATGCCATTTCTTCAGCTAATTAGCATTTTAAATGTTCCAAATCCATTATTGCTGTTGTTTATAACATGTTTTCCTTTTTCAAACGAGGATATTTTTTTTAAATTTATGGCATTATGCGCCTTTAAAAAGACATTAGCGATTTACATAAAATGCATTTTTGTTAGCACTCAGGAATAAAAGAGTAAGCTAATTTAAAGCAATTTCACAAACATTTTTCACAAAACAATTCTTGACAAAATTCCCAGTACAATTTATTACTTTGTAGATAAGTAAAAACATTAGCTTACAATTGACTAACATTGCTATAAAAAATAGTTTGAGCTTTACTGTGCAACCATTAACATCCATAATTATTAAATATTCATAACTCAGATACCCTTTTAACACTGCCAACATGACTGATAACAGAATGATGTTATCTAAAACTTTTGCCCAGAATGATGATATCTTAAAGTCAGCAAATGTGGGATTTTTCCATCTAATTCCCACGGTATAAATATACTTTTACCATTATAGCTTCTTGGTGCCCTCCTGGGTACTTACCATTCACAAGAATGTGACGCCTATTACTTATATGGGGTTTTCCGAGTTGGTGGATGGGGGTGGGGATTTCAACATAAATTGGCTTGATATTGGCAAAATAATAAATTCATTTCATCTAAAATTCATTCATTTTAACTTTTTAAGTGGTTGAAAGCTATATTTTGTCAGATGAGATCTTGAAATTCTTTGGTACATGTACATTTATTTAATTTTACCCTACACCAACTTGCCATTAAATACTATGTGACGAAAATATAATGCTTCAATTTGCACAGTAAAACCCTGGGTTTTAGAACAATCACATATCCAGTACTTTTACCCTTGCCAGTTAAATACATAAAACAAACACATCCCTTACTTTTCTGAGATCGTTTTTCTAGAAGTTAGTGTAGTTCACAGAAAAGAAAAAACGTTATTTCATGATTATAACAACAATAACAACACATCCAATCAATGCAAATAAGCTGGCTTCTGTTGTTCTGTTTGATTAATTCCTTATGGTGTATTCTTAACAGGGAGAATCAAATGTCAACAACATCTTAGCCTATTGATTTCGTATTTTTGCTTCATTGTATCTGATTTATTGTAATTGTTCACCAATTATTTGAAGCAAGATTTTCATAGTTTGATTCTTACAGTTCTGGCATAACCATCATGCTATAAATATTATAGAGGAAAGAAGTCTGTATTGAATAAATATAGAATAAAGATACTTTTTTGTACCAGTATCTCAATGCCTCTAGACAGATAGATGTGTATAAATAATCTTTAAGCAAATCTTTAAATGTAAGTCATTTAGTTTAAAAAAAACATTAAACATCAAATACATCAAGTGTAAGACCCACATTTATTAAGTTTGTATGTTGGTTTGGTTTGTTTTTTTCAGCACACCAATACAATTTAGGTCATATATATAGTGCCAAGCAGGAAAGATGATTTTGGCTTACTACAGATGTTATGCACTTACTTGAAGCAACACCAGTGGTCAAAACCACCACACTTGGTGGAATAAATTATATAAGAGATGCACAGGCTCCATTTTTCAAAACCATTTAGTCGCCTCTTACGATCAGACAGGGATAAACCGTGGCATATATTCTGATGCCTTAACCCATAAAAGCAACCCCCAGCAACAAAGGGGGGCCCCCATTAGGCAGATGGTTAAAATACTAAATTGTATTACATTAAAATTCATTTTCACTGAAACTGATTCAAATTTAGTAACTGTTAGAAAGAATAATTACTATTTTTGTATTAATCTTTATAAGTTACATTAGATAAACCAAAGATGTTTCTGAAAAAAGAAAGAAAAAGAAGACTTGTATAATAAAGCTATTAAGAAATGTTTGTACTAAAATTTCTACAGAATTTTTTTTGCATTTTCCTATTTTTAAGAGACTAGCAAATGGTATCAGATCTAAGGAAACTCTTTATGGTAATCAAGAAAATCTTTTTAGAAAGTTTACTATAAATTTGGTAATACTTCAATAATAGTACACAGTGCATTTGAAAATGCATAAATATATAAAGAAAACTAAAATTCCACCATAGAAAACACCAAATTTATAGTAAATTTTAACTAGCTAAAAGAATTACAAATCTCCAAATTTAATTTTTTCTGGCATATACATGCAAACAGCTCATAAATTTTCAAATTATACATAAAGGTTATAAAATTTATAATAATAAAAAAGAAATATACCTGTGAGATTTGGCAACAGTCGTGCTATATCTGGGATCTTCATGCGTTTCTTCATCCCGATCAGGAACGGCACCATATAACTGATGAACTTCAGAAGCTGCAGCTGTCGTTTCACCTCGGACTTATTTGCAAGATTTTCCATGATCAACTGTTCGTGAAGCTGTAGACGAGAATTTAAACGCTCATATGAAACATGGTCTAGCTTATCGTCCAGAATTTTAACAACACTTGACACAACCCAGTCTGAGTCCATTATAAATAAGTCTTTATAGTGAGTGACAGTGTTTTGGTAAAGTGTCATTTGCACCATAAGGTCATCCACGTGTGACATGAAGAATCTCCGTTCCTCCACCATTTCCTGGTCTCCCTGAGTTTCTGTCGGAAGTTTGTCATAAACAGAAGCATAATCTTGGTCTTTTGTTATATCCGTAAGACCTAAAATTAAATTTTACAAATAAAAAAAAATGAATATTTCAAATTCTAAATCCTTATATTTTAAGATTAAGGAATTTATTAATTGAGTGAATATATCGAAACTGAAAAAGTAAAGGAATATAAAAGTTCCTCTTATTTTTTTTGGTTTTACAATATATTTTTCAAACCACAAACTGATTGAAGAAGTTTTATCCCTGTCAAATGTTTAATCTTTAAAACAAAATACTTCATCTGACATAGGCAGCAATGATATTTAAAGAATTGTCACTAACATATTGCGATATATATCTAAAAATTTTGAGTCAATAGAAATCAACTTACCACTCCGCAAAAATTCTGTTATCAAAGTTTTCTTCGTTTCTGGTTTCCCATTTGCATTTACATCAAGACTAGATCGCCACTTTTCTGAAAATTTTGTTCGTTTATCTTTCGGAAAATAACAGCCATGCCATAATGCCTTCATCATATAGTCTACATTGATCATAATTTGTCCAATCCTCGTGTCCTGGTACGCTGGAGGTAACTGACACGTAGTACTCTGGTCAAAGTTTGCTTCAAGTGACAACGTCGGCGTCTGGTTAAGCACAAACAACCCCATAGTCAATTCTCGAACAATCTGGTGTAGTTCACGATAATCTAATGGCTGAACGTTGTCCTCTTCAGGAATGAGTATTACACATGTATTTGAATTTTGGGGATTTATATTGCTAATCAGCCCCATTGGTGGATCTGTGGGATATCTGAAATCCTCAGTTGATAGCATCCAATGAGTTTGCATATATCCAAGCATTTCTTGGCAATCATATCGTTCAAACTTTTCAATAAAATTAAGAGCATTTCTGGCAATAGCTTGTGTCTGCACTTGCTCCTCTGTCTTCTCTGTCTCTGTTGCCTGGGCCGCCATGCTGATATATCTTCACCACAGCTGCTTGACAACAACAATGTCTTGACTAACTTAAGCTAAACCATTGGTCTAAAAATAAAGACAGTGAACTACAATAAAGTTATCTACATTTAACATTATGGTAACAAAGTACAACTTTTAATATTATATCTGTTATAATTAAAAAAATTTATCCTATAAACTCTATATAAAGGCAAATCTGACATTAGCTTACCAAAAATTAATGAAAAGTAAAAGTGGAACTAGTTTTCCCCACTACATTTACATAAATGTATTTATATATTATATGAGATTGATATAATGTTAAGTGCAGGCCTCGACATTAGCGGTGGTCCGTTGGTCCGAGACCACCTGATTTTGGCAAGGACCACCTAATTTTAAAAGCCACTGGTCCGTCGGACCACTTTAATCTTTATGGTTGGTGCAAGGCTCATTTGGGAGAATGGCGATTTGTGTCAAAAACATGTTATATACATTTTTAAAATCATTTGTTCGAGGTACATGTATATAGTTCATTAATCTCTGATTAGTTAAAGACGTTCTTAAATCATCAATAACTTTCATTTTAAGTCATTCAAATTTTGTTTTTGCAAGTTAAAACAGTTAAGAATTTGTGATAATAATATTTTAGGTACAAAATTCATTCAAATGATGTTAGTAATTATGCATCGTCGGATACCCACGACGGTAATTATAATAGGATATCAGATAAAATTAAATTTCAGATACTTGAATAATGACAGCAAACGAAAGGAACTTGAAAAAATACATCTAATAATTTGTTGCTACTTATCTTTATTTTAACTGTTTAACGATAATAGATCTATTTCTTCCAGAGATAAAATTACTTTTAAAGTTTAAAATTACTCAATGTCAAAAATAAATGTCAACAAGGTAAAAAAATCTGTAATCATAATGAATCAGTCAGAAAAATAAGCTAAACTATAGTTATATTGTCATTATTTTTTATCCTTTAGATATTTCCTTTCAAAAACAAGAATAAGATTTTTTATTTATCAGTTTTCTTAAAATGTTATCTATAGAAGATACATGTAATTGTCATGATAATAAGACGTACCATGTATCAGGAATGAATATTTGAATAACAGACACAAATGATTTCACTATTCCCTAACTTGAGTTGAGGGAGAAATCACTTCAATATAAGAATTAACATAAATAAGAGCCCTGTTGTGTATTTTTGAATGAGATAAAAATAAAAACCAAATAACATTACAATAGAGTACCTACTAACTTGCTCTCCTTAATTTCTGATTAGATAAAAATATATATGTCTGAAGATACCTGTTTTCTTTAAAGGTCAATAATACATCTTTTTCATCAATTTTAAGCGTATATTTTTTTCTAAATTTGCAGTAAAATGTTACAATAATAATAACTGACCACCTTACTTCTTGAAGGACCACCTAAAGTTCAAATCTAGTGGTCCAGCTTACCACTTGCTGAAAAAGTTAGTGTCGAGGCCTGTTAAGTGGTAATAAGTTATATAATCTGATATCTTTCCATCATTCTGTGCATTTCCTGAATACACAATGGTGCTACCCATATGCAAGTGCTTGCTACTCAGCATTAATTATTGAAATTAAATTTGTCAAGAGTGGTAGATCAAATGGCCTGTAAATGCTCACTGAAGAAGCAATTCACATGTACCTACTTAGTGGTTAAAACTTAAAATTATCATCTCTACATTATGCCAGAGTGATATGCTGATTTACAGGATGGTAGGTTACTACAATTTAGTGTTGACTATCAAACATTTTGAAATATTCATGTTAGATCAATGACAACAATATTTCTTGTTAGTTAAACCCAGTCTGCAGTCATTTTGATTAAAATGCCATGTTTTAGTCAGCAATATAAGTGGTTGACAATAAGAATATTAATCAAACAAACTGCAGTGGAATTATCAGTAATAGGATCCGGAACCACTCGGATGACTACTGAATAGTCATCATACTTAAAATTTAATAAAGCACTATTTTAATTGATTATTGTTAACTTTTACTTTCTTCATACATTTCCCATATTTATTCTATTATCTTTAAAAAATTTACTAAATACTGGTAAGTTATATCTAAAGCTTTCAAAACAAAGTGCCACTATAGCTGTACCACTCAAATTATCAATATCAACATAACGACTTTTCAAGAAACTTTTACTTTTAACGGCATATACTATAATTTGATTAGTTTAACAATGATAAACAAACACAACTTATTCTTAAATTCTAACTCCAGATCATTCATCTAATCTTCATTTTCATTAAGACTCGCTGTTTTTGTAAGGAAAGGAAATATTTACCTTTTCATACCCCACCCACCGCGTTTACATTATTGGCGTCCTAAGTTACCAAAAACGAAGCGAGTGATTTTTTCAAAATTATAAATGGAACGAATAACCTTTTAATAACAAACAATTATCACCACTAATATTATCCGGAATTCGTCCGCTTGGTAAGATATATAGATACTTTATGTTTTTGTAAAGACATAAAATTTTGTTTGACAACCCGTATTGGCGAGCACCTGTTTGCCGTTCTCTCTAATTAGATCAATTTAATTGGTCAGCGTTGTGCGGAATGGAACGGGTTAAACCTGACGGTACAATATCCGTATAGCTGCAATTTCTTTTTCGGTTTTATCACGGATTTAATATAAATCCGTGGTTTTTTAAATATTTTTTGCAGATAATATGTTGTTAGTTTTATTAAAGATTACAAACCATACTTATTTAAGAAATAATATCGGTCTAAGCGGTGTTAATCGGCGCTGTTTTCATTGAAGTCTCCCGTTACAAGTTCAAATTGCTATAATACTATAAAAACTGCTTCAACACTAATCAAACTTGGCACAAATGTTGACTGGACCATTGCCCTTGTAACAACATGCTCAGGCTTAAATTTTCTGTTACCATGGCAACGAGGGGACATCTCAAAATTGCCAAAAATCACTATTTTGCGTTGATTTTTTCCATCAAAATTGATTTCAAAGTGCTGCAACTTCTCAATGGATTGAGATAGAGTCAAATGCTTTTCAGCGTTGGTTACACGTTACCTTATGATCAATCTGGGGTCATTTACAGCCTCTCACAAGTCCATGACTTTCTTGGCGATGAGGGGGACTCTATAGTTAACTATAATTTTGATATTGGATTTTTTTTAAATTTCATCGGTGGTTTTGTATTTGGTACCTTATAGTAAGCCTTAGAGTGTTGAAATTTTTTTTTTCAGGGTTGTAGTAGGGGTCTAGGGGCAGATAGGGGTGGCGTGTCCAAACACTGATATACTGCCACCTGTGGAAGGCTGTAGGCCTGAGTGGTAATTTTTTTGCATCAAAACGACAAAACCGGTGTTGTAATAGCCGATTTACACCACTCAGACCGATATTAGTTCGAATCTAACACGATAAATAAGGTAGGTCACTAATGTTATTTTTTCAAGCGGAACTAACTTCCAGTGCCGATTTTCGTATAACGCGCGCTGTTCGATTTTAACTACTAGCTGTTGCTAAGATATAAAAATCATGAAACAAAAGAAATAATAAGAAACACGCTATTTTATCAAGTTTTCAACAATAAAAACTTACGTCTAATGTTTTACATCAGTGCCCCATTTATCATTCTTGCATGTATGTATGAAATGACGTGAGCGTTTATGAATAAAATAGAGAAATACAGATCGAATCCCTTAAGAAAGCCCAACACGACAAAATTGAAAATTTTGCAGGCTCGGTTTGATTGAGCCTGTTCATGGACGGTTATGGAAAGTGAAAGTTACCGTCCACACCCTTATCGCCGGCTTAATCAGGATTCAACATTTAAACATGAAATAGTAAAATTTTGAATGTAGAAACATCCGCAGATGTGTTCATGGAACCTTCAATGTGACACTTCCGTGCAAATCCATGAAAAGCGGCGTATGGTCCCCAAGTTACAAAAAGCTCGTGCAATAAAGAGAAAAATATGGGCGGGAACTAATTAAAATGGAATTTTGAAAGCGGATCTGAGGTTATGAAGCCTACATATCACAGATAAGACGTCAAAAGACAAATTTAAAAAGCAGGCAACTTATCCTAAAGGTGATTCAATATTATTCAAGTAGGAATATTGGAACCACCCAACTAGAAAATGCCGAAAAGTTGAAACAAAAAATACCACAAGCACAACAATATTGTCATGCTGAACTCTGCTTACGGATTGGCGCCGTTTTGTCAAAAAATTTATTATCTGATATGGATCAAATATGCAGTCTGGAGTTCCTTCACCTTTTGCTACGCTTGTTAGATGCCGGGAACCAGAATATCAAATATGTGGCGTTAGTGTATACGAGATATTATTTAATTTTACCCATGAAATATGGTGCTATATCAGTCAAATATATTTCATATCTTTTAAGAATAAATATGAAATATAAATATGAAAGTGGACGGAGTCAAAACTCATATTTATTTTAAGGGACTTCTTTCGCCGTTTTGTTTGAAAAATCTGATAAATACAAAACAACTTTTTCTTGAATATTGTTTTGAAAACTATCTAGCATGATAGAAAATGGTCTAACTAAGAAAATAAATCCGAACACCAATATCTTTAATTCAGTTATTAGCGCTGTACAGACGTTTAAAGAGTTGTTTCCATGACGTCACAATGTAGCGCCAAACAGCGCGTGCTTGCGCATAAATTACTGCGCGCTGTACAATTGCAGTTGGTAGCAAGCAAGGGGTTTCGGTACCATTTTCTTTGATAACGAAATTTAATAAAAAGGTCATTTTTTCGTTTTTCGTGAAATATGGTATATATTTTCACTCAATATGATAAAATACCACATATGTGTCATTTTATCATGTTTCGTTACTTATTAATTAATCTTATAATTATTTTTGTGCATTTATGTGTGTGTTTTTATATATATGCAAGTTGATATCTGTGATAAAATTGTATGTGTATATGTCTATTCCCTGAATAAATCGATACGATATTTCACGCAAACGAAAAAATATCCTCTTATTATCCCTGTGTCGTATGAAAAGGAAAATTTGAAGAACTGAAAATACAAATATTTTTTTGTTGCTTTAAAATGCTTTGTAAACTATATAATCGTGGGGGAGAAAACATTACGACCGTACGACAAGTAGTCCCCCTAAAGACTGTTTATATATTTGCAGATTATAACACCGGTGTTTTTTCTTCTTTGTTTATCAGTTGTTTATAGTGACAGAATCACCAGGAGTGTTAGAATTTGATGTATGAGTATAGTACAGACTTGGCACTTTGAAAGGAAAAATACATTGAAATAATGGTTAGAAAAAAGAAGTCTGTGCTGCAGGGTGATAAACTATTTTATTATTTCTAACGATTACTAACGATTAGAAAGAGTAAACGATTTTAATTATTCATGACTACTTTTAAGTACAATTTAAGGCCTAATGTATGAAAAGCTTGTAATATATACTTTAGTGATGTTGCCTCCTTGCATTTTCTAATATATATTTGATTCCTTTGTGGGTTATATTCTAAATTATTCATGCCCTGAATGGAGAGTTGTATATCAAAATATATTGAACATGTCACGGAGATAATTTAAGTGTCTGAAAATTTATATCTTTTTTGAACTATACTTAAAACCAGGGCTCCAATTATGTCTCAGATTAATGTTCGGGTCAATATTTATTTGGCCTCATTAATATTTACTTTATTTTACGTCACTACCAGTCCACTTTATTAATGGTGGGTTTAAATATGCATGATTTTGGTCAATATGGAGGCTGAGTTTTCATTTGCTCGATATATAGAAACATTTATTTTCAACAAACATGTTTATGAGTTAGACAATTGATACTCAGTAGCTATTACCTGATATTATTCATTTATACATGAATACACTAAATATTATGTGTTAACACGAGGTCACGAAACGAATTTTCCAAAAAACATTAAGTACTTTCACTTTCTGTCTACCGAAAGTGAATAGACAAACCTCACTTTCCTCTCAAGTACAAATTTCCTTCATTCGTAACAAAATATACTAATTGACTTTTGTATTTGTTTTTACTTTACACGTGCAGTATCCTTTTTCGCCAAGACGTGAATTTAATTCTAAACTGGATGTAAATCCTTTATCAATAAATGCAAAAATGAATGTAGGTTGACGTCATTCTTTATTTATTAATATTCAAAAGCGGCCCAAGAAAGCGCATGTGCAAATTTATTTTTACTTTTATTGACAGAAGTGCAGTTGTCTAACGAGTTTGCTAATTGTTAGCAAATTGAATCTGTTTGCTACCAGATATCTTTAATGGAATTTTAGTATATCTTTCTTATCATCTTCTTGTGTTTGTCATATTATTTGTTTGGGGCGTCCGTGGCTGAGTGGTTAAGGTAGTTGCCTTCAAGTCGTTGCCTTCAAACCACATGCCCTTCACTGTTGTGGGTTCGAATCCCGATAGGGACTTTGGATTAATTCATGTGACGAAGCTTTCCAGCTAGCTTACGGTACGTCGGTGATTCTACTCAGGTGCCCGTTCGAGCCTGAAATAGTACACGGAAGGGCACCTGAGGTCTTCCATCACCAGTAAAGCTGTAACGTCGCGATATTACCTAGTATACTGTGCCGATGTGACGTAAAACCCAAAAAACACAAAACAAAAAAAAAAACAAACAAATCATATATTTTGTTGATCATATAACACGCTTTTTCAAAGAGAAAATCACTTGATTTGGGAATACTGGCAAGTGGGTCTAAACAACATATTCTAAAGGTTTACACAACTAATCATACATTTGAGAAGGATTGTAACAAAGTATTCAGAAAATTATTGTCATCAAGAGCACTCTCGTGTTTTTTTTTATTCAGTGATTCCATCTGCAAATATAGCTTATTTCAACAATTCAGTAAAAAGATGAACACTCTTTTGTGCATACTTTAATTATCGTCATCAACTTTCCTGGGTCATATTGTCATTATTTAAGTTTAAGCGTACTTTTGACTCGGTTACATCGCCTTTTCACCAGTGAAAGTACATAATAATGCATGTATAAGCCTTTACAGGACTATTATTAGTAGGAATTAGTGACCTATTGCGTTTGTACGGGTTTGGAGATTGGATACATGATGGTAGAAATTTGTACACTCTTACATTTGTGAGCAATAATTGAAAAAAAATTGTGCGCAGCTTCTTTAATCAACTTTTTACATTACTTTAATAATACAATTATTATTTGGTACCCTGGTGAACTAAGTCGGAGTTCTATCTTTGAATATTCATTGTAGGAAACACTTCATGTTGTATACGTTACACTTAATTTTCTTTGCCTTTCCTTTGACTCTACTTGCCGAGAGAAAAAAATGTAAAGAATATTTTTCTCTCGGAAAGCAGAGTTATCAAGTTAAGTCAATAGATCTACTATTGATCCATTCAGAAACGAAAGAAAGATTTTCTTCAAGCATTCCTTTTTATATTATTATCTCTTCATAATACAAGGTCTACACGTTAAAACATGTCTTTTTTAAATGACATTTTTATGTTTTCAACAACAGTTATAATCGTAGAA